GTTCAGGGTTCAGGGTTCAGGGTTTAGGATTTAGGGCGCGTTTAGGGTTTAGGGTTTAGGGTTTAGGGTTCAGGGACCTTTAACCTTGTAAGGGTAAGAGAATCCTCTTATAATCCTCCCCTAGCTACTGGACAACTAAGGTTGATGAAGGACTGCGTTGGCCAAACCCCAAACCCTACCCACCTGCACCGAATATCAAAGGCCCACGACCACCTTTGGAGTCAGAAAGCTATGGGTATTCAGAGTCCAGTTTTGTTTGGGGTTTAGGGTTTAGGGGTTACGGGTTAGGGTTTAGGGTTTAGGGTTTAGGGTTTAGGGTTTAGGGTTTAGGGTTTAAGTTTAGGGGGGTTTGTTCCGATCAAGGGAGTCCTACTCGGAACCCCTCCCTGAGAGGTTCCCCGAATATACTCCCAACATGGCCCTGGTATTCCCTTCGGGATCCTTAAACAGGGTCTCCAAACCCAAGGGTACAACCTTAAGGGTCCAAGGCAGAGTCCCATGCTCCGAAACAGAGAGCACCCCTATATTTCCCGCACATGAGGAAATGTATGTCTGTTTGTTGGGTGCTCTTACGGATATAGTAGTTTACCCTCCAGCTTTAGCACCCGAAGCCTGTGCCTGAAATCCCAAAGCGTCGCTTGCCCCCCCGCCCCCGCGCCCTCCGTACAAAAGAAACGAAGCCTAAACCCTAGGCCCCAAACCCTGAACCCTGAACCCTGAACCCTGAACCCTAAACCCTAAACCCTAAACCCTAAACCCTAAACCAAAACCCTACAAACCCTAAAAGACCCTACTCCCAAGGATCTTGCTCAACAGAAATGTGCAGAATCTGGAGACCGCCAGCAGCACAGCGGAGGACTCCGCAGGGTTGCGGGTTCAGAGTTGACTGGTGCGCGTTTAGGGTTTAGGGTTTAGGGTTTAGGGTTTAGGGTTTAGGGTTTAGGGTTTAGGGTTTAGGGTTTAAGCTGGATGGATGGATGCTGCCCTGGCCTCAGTTCCAGTCTTAAAAAAGGGTTTAGGGTTTAGGGTTTAGGGTTTGGGGGTTTACGAAAACAAGGGACCCCTAACAGAGTCCCCAAATACTAGGATTCCTTCAGAATATGGACCTCAGTACGGTACCCCTCATTTCGGAAAACCCCATGCATAAAGGACATGCCAGACAAGTTCCAGCCGCACCAAACGTACACCAGGGCATGCAATTCAAAGGCAGAAGTGGGGCCCAAATCCCAAATGTAACTCAAGCCTTGCTCAAAGGGGCTTAGGGTTTAGGCCCGTATTTAGGGTATATGGGGGTATGTATAGGGTATATGAGGTTTAGGGTTTGAAGTTGAGGGGGAGGGGGGGCTCTCCGCTGCCACCAAATTCGCCAGGCAAAGCTAAAGCTGCGGCACAGCCTTCATGAGCACACAACCCTAGAACCCCAAAACCCTAAAACCCTAAACCCAAAAACCTGAAAACCCTAAAACTCTGAGGCCCTAGAACCCTATCACTCCTGAAAATGCCTCGTGAGCCACTGTTCCAGGAGGTCCTCGCCCGCGACTCGAAGGTCAACCTCATGGTGCTTCCGGAGTCTTGGGACTTATGCTTGGTAGCCCATGGTGGTGTGGCACTCTTTTGGCAGTTTTTTTTGGCGGCTAAGATATAAAGTAGCCAACCCCCCCCCCCCCCCAAAAAAAAAAAAAAAAAATGCCCTAATTATGGTGTGGTTACTGGGCTACCAAGAATATGACTGCGGGAAATTAGGCTTGGTAGCCCGGTGGTCATTGGGGCCCTTGGGCCCTGATACCCTCTGCATCCGTATCTTCCTGGGGCATCTATGAGGACGATGACAGGTTTTATCTAAGGATATGAAACATAGTACTGCTGTCTTTCTGATACTCCCAAACAAGTATGAAGACAAATTTTGTTCCCCACGCCAGGGCAGAAGTACCTCAGACTTGCTACTACTGTTGATCTTGAATCCATCTGCACAGCACACCTACCGTGTACACGCCCGCAAGTATACATCTGAGTAGAGTTCCTAAACCCTAAACCCTAAACCCTAAACCCTAAACCCTAAACTGTTTCCCGGAAGTTTGAGGGTTCTGGCGGCTGCCGTGGGAAGCCAGGGTCTAGGGCTCCATCCTCGGCTCTCAGGAGTACTCCGGCATGTGGATGATGTGCCAGTTCTACTTGCGGAACATGCTCCCCCCGGACACCTGGTGGTTGCTGTATACCCCCTGAATCCTAAACCCTAAACCCTAAACCCCAAACCCTAAACCCTAAACCGTAAACCCCAAACCCTAAACCCTAAACCCTAAACTAAACCCTAAACCCTGACCCTAAACCCTAAACCCCAAACCCTAAACCCTAAACTCCTGTTTGAAATACCGGGCTCCTGATCTCCTAGGGGTTCACAAGGCTTCCTTGGTGCCTGGCTTTGGAATTGTCCATCTGCCTGCAAAACCCCACATGCGCCCAACGCCGGCTTGAAGTCCTAGGCTGAGCAAAAGAATTAGGTTTGGCGTTTAGGGTTTAGGGTTTAGGGTTTAGGGTTTAGGGTTTAGGGTGCTCAAGACCCCAAAACATGAACCCTACACCCTGAACTTAAAGCGCAAAAACCCTAAATGCACATTCCGTGCCTGCCGCTGCCGTGTGCGAGTGCGAGATCCGAAATGCATAAGGTCTACTAAGCCCTATACCCTCAACCCTAAAGCCTACCTGCGTGCGGGCGTGAGAGTCCAAGACCTAAACCTTTAAACCCAAATTGAACTCGTATCCCCATTCCCACAGGACCCTCTAAGACCTACACCCTGAACCCTGAACCCTAAACCCTAAACCCTAAACCCTAAACCCCGAACCCTAAACCCTAAACCCTAAACCCTAAACCCTAAACCCTAAGCAGAAGAGGACTATGTGTGGTTTGTGGCTGCTTTCGGAAATTGGGTGGACGGTGTCACGAGCTCATTGGCAGGAACGCCAGCATCTTGACTTGGAACCCTTGGTGAGTTATAGGTAAGGGCGGGCGATTCAAGGGGTGTGTGTAACCCAAGGTTCCCTAATAGTCCACACCCTAAACCCTAAACCCTAAACCCTAAACCCTAAACCCGAAACCCTAAACCCTAAACCCTAAACCCTAAACCCTAAACCCTAAACCCTAAACCCTAAACCCTAAACCCTAAACCCTAACCTAAACCCTAAACCCTAAACCCTAAACCCTAAACCCTAAACCCTAAACCCTAAACCCTAAACCCTAAACCCTAAACCCTAAACCCTAAACCCAAACCCTAAACACGCCCCAAAACCCTAACAATACTCCACAATACTCCCTAAGGCTCCCGAAGCTTCCCTGCCCCATGATGAAGAGCCCTATAAGTCATCCTGCTAGTGATAGCAGCTAACCCTAAACCCTAAACCCTAAACCCTAAACCCTATACCATTCAGAGAGTATGGGGGGTTCAGAGTTTGCAGCGTTTACAAGGCTTATATCGTATGCCTCAAATCCAGCCCGAAATTCAAGCACCTGGAAAAAGTTTCGGTGACCCTTCAAGAAGCCCCACTAGTTGCTTAACACCGCTGTTTTTTTGCAGGGCAAGTCGGACAGCTTCTTTGGTAGCTCAAGCTGACGATAAACAACTGGATGTGTTCCATCGTGTATGGACCCGAAACCCTACAAACCCCCAACCCTAAACCCTACAAACCCCCAACCCTAAACCCTACAAACCCCCAACCCTAAACCCTAAACCCTAAACCACCCTCAACCCTAAACCCGAAACCCTAACCCGAAACCCTAAACCCGAAACCCTAAACCCTAAACCCTAACCCGAAACCCGAAACCGCGTCCACTGAACTGCTCTCCGCGCAGCTGCCCCCTACTCCGCTCAGTTTTTGGGCTTAGAGGGTTCAGGGTCTGTTTGAATCTAGGGTTTAGGGTTTAGGGTTTAGGGTTTAGGGTTCCCGGCCGATGCCCCAAGCCGGGATGCAAAAGGAGTTGAGGGTTTGGGTTTAGGCGGCCTTTGCGAGCCCAGATGCAAAAGGGCTTGGATTTATCATAAGTTTCCCTGCCACCCCCTCTATACTACCCCCCCCCCCCCCTAGCTTCCCCCTTAACTAACCTTAATTGGGCTTAATTACTCTTACATAGCCTTAACCACTCAGGGAACTTAGAGGGGGTAGTATAGAGGGGGGTAGTAGCGGAACCCATGATATTAGGGCGAACGGTTCATCCCGGCTGGGGGTTTACGAAAAAGGGGACCCCGAATACCCCGAATACCCTAAACGCTAAACCCTAAACCCTAAACCCTAAACCCTAAACCCTAAACCCTAAACCCTAAACCCAGTATGGTACCCCTAGTATCGTACACCCCCAAATCAATTTGAAGATGGAGATCCTGATTTTTGGCCACTCTCAGAAGAGCTGATGTGTTACAAGCCCTAAGTGCGCGCAGTGCGGGTGGCAAGGAAAGACCAGGAGCCTACTTGAAGGTTCATCGGTACCAATAAGTAGGATGAAATTCGGGTAGGGTTTAGGGTTTAGGGTTTAGGGTAACTAAGCCCCCTAAACCCTAAAACCCTACAAAGCAACTGAGGAATGCCCCTGCACGGCGGAGCAGCTCTTGAGGGTGTCTGGTGGGCTCATGATCAGCGGCAGATTGCCCATCCGGTGCCTGGGGGACGAAATGGTTGTGGGTTTTGGGAGGGGGGGGGGGGGGGGGGTGAGGCTTGGGTCAGGTTTCGGGGGTTTAGGGTTTTCGGGTTTCGCGTGTAGGGTTTGAGCTTAGGTCAGGGGTTCGGGCAACAGGGTGTGGGTTTAGGGCCGGGCTCTTGGCAGCATTCCGGCATGGCCCCCGCCATGTTTTCTCAGCAAAACGTGTTCAAGTTCAAGGGCATATTATTCCTTCCGCATCCCCTGGGCCCCCCTTCAAAAACATTCAACGTGAACCTATTAGGATTCCTTGTGCCCGCTAGGAGTACCAGCGCGGTGCATGGTTTGTCGGGCCGCGTGTTGTCAGACATATCCGATGTGTCTGAGCTACAACTTCAGTATAGGAGCTTTGTTTCTTGAGGTGTGCTGGGAACCCTCTGAACCAGGGCATATGGCCTTGTGTCATCTCTGTCGACCCGCGAGGAGTACAACCTCCGATGTCAGCAGTTTGCAAACGGACAAGGCGCGTGCGATGATTTGTGGACGGGCTACTTCTACGATTCGCTGTGGCATTTGGCCGGCGTGCTTCATGCCTATCTGATCGACCAGAACAACTCGTTGGCATCCTTTGGGACGGTTGAGTCTCAGCAGGCCCAGAGGGTCCATTTGTAGTACCATTTCTGGAATTAGAGGTACCCCAAAACCCTACTTAGTATGGCTCTTGTGTACCTAATTCCATAATCGTATGGTATGGTTTTGGGGTACCTAATTCCATAGCAGTACAAAATGGACCCTCTGGGAGGCCTTGTTCAACCTGTCCGTGCACATGGACTACATGGGCTTGACAGGTCGGGTGCGCCAATTCAACAGCATCGAGCCGACGACCGTCCCACCCTCGTACGGCGATCGCGATGGTGTTCAGCTCCTTCTCCAACAGCTGAACTTTTAACTTTTTGGGTTTCCTTATTTAGTAGGAATAATAAAGTTTGGTTATTGGAGAAGTGAGGCTCATCCGTCAATTTCAAGGGGGGATCGGGAGCGAGTTCGTGGAGTTGGGTCTGCGGACCAGTGATGGGATTACATGGTTTACGGATGTGATCTGGAGCCCCAGCGACAGCAGCAAGAGGGTGCCGTGCAGCACAGGGCAGTGCAACTTGAACGACGCATGGGTACCTGCAGACCGCATAAGCCAATGCTTTGCAGGAACGGTTTTCTCGGTGCAGCTTGGCTGCGTTGCTTGTGCACCTGGCCGTTTTGCCGTGGCAGGCATGGTGGAGTGCCAGCCGTGTGATGTGGGCTCCTACGCCAATGACAGCAGCATGGCAAGCTGCCGCCCATGCAGCGCCGGAAGCTACAGCAATGTCCTCGGCGCTGATAGCTGCGACTCGTGCACGCCAGGATTCTACGCAAACGACACTTCCTCCACAGCTTGTGACACGTGCCCCCTGGGGCGATATGGGCCACAGAAAGGCCTGGCAGAATGTGAGGAATGTCCACCAGGGCGCACCACTGGGTTTTCTGCCGCCATCACTGAGGACGCATGCCAGTGCCAGGGGCATTTGTATCAGGGGCAATGCATAGTGTGCCCTGGCAACACTCGCTATGAAGAGGGCCAGTGCATGGCATGTGGAGAGGGGCTGATATGCAATGGCAGTCGCACCGCCGACATCGTGAGCGGATATTTCAGTGAGGCGACTGCCCCTTTCAGTGTGTACAAGTGTCTTCCCGGTGAGTTTTGTCCAGGTGGGGAGTTACGAAGGTAAGGGACCCCTAATATACGCCCCAAATAGTATAAGAAGAACCCCAACAAGGTGGCCTCTTACTCTCGGACACCCTCAGGTGGTTTGCCTGGCACCTGCGCGGATGAACTCATAGGAGTTCCGTGCACTCATTGCCCGGATGGCAAGTCCTGGGACACCGACGGCTGCTCAGAGTGCACGCCTCCTGGCGAGTACTGAGTACGATTTTTTCTGAAATGCCACAGGCCTCCCGTGCAGCCCAGCAAGATTATATGAGTAGCTTTGAGTAGGTAGCCTTACCTTTTTGGGGTATACATAAAACTGCCACAGTTGAAAGGTTAACCTTTTTTGGCCCAGGGTACTCAGCAACCAGGTCGTAAGAATAGATGCGCTATAAGGGCTCGGAACAAGAAACAAGGGTTTAGGGCTTAGGGTCTAGGGTTTAGGGGTTTAGGGGTTTTGGGGTTTAGGGGTTTTGGGGTTTAGGGGTTTAGGGGTTTAGGGGTTTAGGGGTTTAGGGGTTTAGGGGTTTAGGGGTTCAGGGGTTTAGGGGTTTAGGGGTTTAGGGTTTAGGGGTTTAGGGGTTTAGGGTTTAGGGTTTAGGGTTTAGGGTTTAGGGTTTAGGGTTTAGGGTTTAGGGTTTAGGGTTTAGGACTAGGAGTCGACTAAGGGCATTCAGCATGGCGGGATGGGTGCTTGCTGCCCTCTTCGGTATGGGGTCCGTCCCCACGCTCTACTACATGATGAACATGAGGCCGCTCGGTTGGGTTGGGCGTTTCGGACTTGAGAGGCTTTAGCGGGTAGGGTTTAGGGTTTAGGGTTTAGAGTTTGGGGTTTAGGGTTTAGGGTTTAGGATTTGATGGCTTTAGCGGTAGGGTTGGGGGGTTCGGCTTGTTCTGGCACGCCCTGGCAGCAAGAAGGGGTTCATCAGTAGACTCATGGCTTCATGTGCAGTCCAGCAGCCTCTTGCGCCCGACACTCGGAAACCAAAGGAACCCTAAACCCTAAACCCTAAACCCTAAACCCTAAACCCTAAACCCTAAACCCTAACCCCAGGCAGACGGCCAAAGCGACCACGATGCTGGCAACCTCCTGTGCACTGGCTATGACCATCAGCATGGTGCAGAGTCTTGGTGGCAATTTTCGAGGGTTTAGGGTTTAGGGTTTAGGGTTTAGGGTTTAGGGTGGTGGGAGGTTCTAAGAAGGGATTGAGGGAATGAGGTAGCCTACATAATTCCTTAACGGGTCAAAGAATAGGACCCGAATTCCCTCATTCCCTACTAAGAGCTAGCCAATTTTCGTTAAGGAGGATTTCAGGAGGATCATGTTTTGCTGCTTCCTCCTTTAAGAAGCTGGTCCTCTGCAAAGCTGCAACCTACCCCTCTGCGTCTGCTAGCGTTGCTTCTGCCCCAAGCCCTGAGGCCTGAACCTTAAATCCTAAACCCTAAACCCTAAACCCCAAACCCTAAACCCTACACCCTAAACCCTAAACCCCGAACCCTAAACCCTAAACCCTAAACCCTAAACCCTAAACCCTAAACCCTAAACCCTAAACCCTAAACCCTAGACCCTAAACCCTAAACCCTAAACCCTAAGCCCGACGGTGAACCCTGACCTCATCCACACGCCTTAGCCGAGCATGCAGCCAGGGCTCTTCCCTTTCACTGCCTCCCAAGGACTTTATGATTAGACATGAGTGAGTAGGGTTTAGGGTTTAGGGTTTAGGGTTTAGGGCTTAGGGCTGAGGGCTTAGGGCTTAGGGCTTAGGGTTTGGGAGTTAGGGTTTAGGGCTTAGGGCTTAGAGCTTGGGGCTTAGTGTTTTTCGGGTGCGGGGCTTATGTAGGACTTAGGGCTCAGTTTTTTCTCTTGGTCTGGAGATTGAGGTTGAATCAGTCCTGCGACATGCTTAGACCCCCCACCGGCACGGCAGTTGAGACCATCTAGCAGCGATTGTTAGGAGACCCTGACCCCCCATCCCTGACGCACAAGTCGAGATGCGTACCAGGTGGCAACCTCTTTGTGCGTAGAGGGCAACCTTGAGATGCAGATAAGTTCTAAACCCTAAACCCTAAACCCTAAACCCCTAAACACAAACCCTAAGCCCTACCCTAAACCCTAAACCCTAAACCCTAAACCCTAAACCCTAATTAAACCCTCAACCCCAAACCCTAAGGCTTCACAGTGTTGGTTCCCTCCTGCAGTTCATCCTGCAGTTGCCTGGCTAGACCTTAACCCCTAAAGCTGTTGCCCCCCAACACCTAAACCCCTAAACACAAACCCTAAACCCTGAATCCATTTGTATCACCCGGTTTAGGGTTTAGGGTTTAACAAGTTCCTGGGTCCTTTTGGTTCGAGGAATGTTGGAATCGTGGGCTACATATCGTTCTCGTGGCCGTCTGAGCTGCTTGGCTGAAGCCACTGAGGGACATACGTAGGTGATTCAGGGCTTAGGGTTTAGGGCTTAGGGCTTAGGGTTTAGGGCGTTGTGATGGGGGGTTCCCCAAGTAGGGATCCGCATCCTTTATGGCGTTCCTATAGCAGGGGTCGTCATACTTTAGGGGTATGTTCGGGCTACCCCTATTTTGGGTGACCCTAAGCCCCAAACCCTGAACCCTAACCTTATATGAGCCCCTGACGATTTTCCCAGAGAATAGGGGTGGATCGTCCAGGCACAGGGAGGAGGAGTGCCCGAGACCACAACCGCCTAAACCCTAAACCCTAAACCCTAAACCCTAAACCGCAGCTCTAACCATCTTTGCAAGCCCAACCTAGACGAAGCTTTCAAAACCCGACGAACTAGGCAACTAGGCGTCGGAACCCTGCGGGAGGGGCTCGGTATTTCCTTCAGAGAATCGGGATTCGCAGAATTCACCCCAAAATGCATACTCTAATCATATCCTTAGGGTAGCAACCCCCGCAAAGGTACATGTTGTGTGGAAGCCCCCAGCCAGTAATCCGCGAAAGGCTTCAGTGGATGTTCGATCTCATGAGCGTCTTCACTCTTGACTTGCAGGACTGGCTTTTGCACCCATTCAAGAATGCTCCTCCGGTTTAGGGTTCAGGGGTTTGGGGCTGCATCATCTGGGGCCTACCCTTAAGTGCTAAGGCTGCAATTCCAAGCTCCTTGCTTGTTCGTGGAATTATCAAACCCTAGACCCCTAATCTGCCGTTTTCGTGGGGCCATCAGGGCTTGTTGTTGATTTGTTTCCTTGATCGCCAATCCCGTGCTGTTCGGCTCTAGCACGATTAGTGGTACTGTACTCTTCTTCCCTAATTGTAGGGGGGGGGGGGGGGGGGGGGGGCGGGGAGATTGCCCTAGAAACCATGTTTTAAACAAGCTCGTGGGCTGAATACAACTTCTAGTACCCCAGCTATTATACCCAAACCCTAAGCCCTAAAACCCAACCCTAAACCCTAAACCCTACACCCTAAACCCTAAACCCTAAACCCTTTTTCACAGGCCATTGGGTTCGACTGCGTCTCGAGCTCACCGGTGTCCGGCTACATGATCACTTCCGCCATGCTCCCGTGCGCTCTCGTGTGGCTGCCCCTCGGCTCTTTTTGTGAGGGTTTAGGGTTTAGGGTTTAGGATTTAGGGTTTAGGGTTTAGGGTTTAGGGTTTAGGGCTTAGGGCTTGGGGCTTGGGGCTTGGGGCTTAGGGCTCTTTTGCAAGCAGGGTCGACTTTGAATTGTTTCTTGAGGTAAACCCGGGACCCTAAAGAGGAGTTTTGGGCTGCAGGGTCGCAGAAGTCTCCTCTTTCAGTCGCTGAAGCAGGACTCAAGAAGGCACTTGATGACTAATGTCCCTGAAGTTCAAGGTATTTCACTCACACGCCTTTTGGGGCGCGTCCCAAAATGGGCGCGTGCACCCCTATGTACGCCAAATTAAGCAAAATCCCCTTCAACAGGGAACCCCAAAAAAGAGGGGTACTGTATCCTACTTCATCAAGGGACTAACGAAGGGACCCTTGTCAGGGACCTTAGGGTTTATTTAGGGGGTATTTGCGGGCTACCTGACTTAGGTATATAGGGACTATATAAGGATATACAGGGGTTACATAGGGGAAGAAGATAAAGGGTCCCTTCTAAGGGCCCCTCGTTATACCCCTCAATAACACCGATTGTTTTGCATCGGGGAGCTGCATGTAGGCCTTTTTGGTTGGGCCCGCGCACCCTAAACCCTAAACCCCTAACCCCTAACCCCTAACCCCCTGAACCCCTAAACCGCTAAACCCGAGCAGGCTCATCTGCAATTTCCTGAGCAAGCTTTTACCAACCCGATGGCGATTCGAGAGCGGCAAGCTCATCTCGACCATGGGCCAGTTCATCCAGGTCCAGTGGCTCTAGGGTTTAGGGTTTGGGGTTTTGGGTTTTGGGTTTGGGGTTTAGGGCACGTCAGAGCTGGGCCGGGGCAAAAAGGGTGTAGGGTTTAGGGTTTACTGTTTGAGGCTTGAGCTCGCGGGGTCAAAAGGGTTTAGGGCGTGAAAGCCTGAAGGCACGATGCTGCCAGCCTAGAGACCACGCTCCTCACCCGAACATGAAGCCCCAAGTAAGTGGCCGAGTATTTTATTTTGCAAGTCGCAAGCTTACCCGCCAGGTCCCTCACTTTCTGATACATACATATATGCATATAAACCCTAAACCCTAAACCCTAAACCCTAAACCCTAAACCCTAAACCCTAAACCCTAAACCCCAAACATACAGCTCTTCTGAATTCAGCTAGCCGGGGGAGTCCCTGAATCGCTGCTGTGGCATCTGAGAAGCTGCCTGAGCCGGTCCAGGTCACCTTCACCATCTACAGCAAGGTCGCGCTGTCGCCCATGATGTGCTACACCCACCCGACCCTTGGAGATACTTGAGAACATCTCTAAGGTTTAGGGTTTAGGGTTTAGGGTTTAGGGTTTAGGGTTTAGGGTTTAGGGTTTAGGGTTTAGGGTTTAGGGTTTAATTAATTCCTAAGAAACGGGCTAGAATCATCATGTTTTCCCAGGGTTCCCCAAGTTCAGTAGAGGAACGGCAAGAGCGGCATGCTCGAGCACAATGGCATCTTCTGCTTCGAGAGTGAAGAGCACACACCCATGCAACTTCAGCTGCACCCTTCCGTAAGTCCCCGTTAGGGTTTAGGGTTCAGGGTTTAGCGTGTAGGGTGTAGGGTTGGGGTTTAGAAGTCCCTAGGTTTCCCCCTTAAATAACCTTAGTTTGGCTTAATTATCTTTGAATAGCCTTAACTATGGGGGGGGGAACCTGGGGGGGGGCGTAGACGCCTAAACCCTAACCTAGCTGTGTAAGATCGCAACCATTTGTTGCTGTGTCGCCCTTCCCGCCCGCCACCTCTGAGAGATGAGAAACCGCTTAGAACCCACAGCCTCGCCCTTGACCCCTAAACCCTAAGCAGCTCGAGTCCCCTTGTCTCCGCAGCATTAGAGCCTGGAGTGTGTGCTGCCTATGTTTGTTGACCTCTGGTCTACTTAGCAGTTGAGTAGGAAACCTTGTCTTTTGCCCTTCTTGAGTGTTAAAAGCCCCGAAAGGGTCCTACCTAGATAGACAACTCAGCCCCCCAGGGCAATTTTGCCCTAACCCTAAACCCTAAACCCTACCTCATGCTAGGAAGTGTTGCGGCTCCTGCCACAGCTCAGTACAAGCCCTGTGCAGCCTGGTCTCGGGCCGTCGCATTCCTCTTGTCATGGCTTGTTTGATTTTCGATCTGAAAATTGAGCCTGCCCTCAAGTTTGGCCGCTGGCTCTGGGGAGTTCATGAGGACTCCCTGGCAGTCCTCACTGAGTCATACAACTCCTGGGCACGGATGCTCCTAGGTTCTAGCAGGTGGCGCTCGGCAGAGGTGTGTCGAGGTGAACTTGGCTGGGAGTTCTGCGCCCCTGCCAGGGTCGCCCTGGAAGTTGCAGCCGTGCGGCACGCTCTGTGGCTACAGAATGGTGAGTCCCTGGCGGGCCTTTGCTTCGCCCAGGCACATCTTCTGCAGTCTAACAATTGGGCAAAAGCCTCGCTGCAGCTTCTGGAAAAATGGTCTGTCTTAGACTGGCCTGTTTGGGCATCCTGCCGCCGTGCACATCCCACCTATCAGCTGTATGTGCGCGAAACGGTGCAGTACTCTTCCACCCTGGCTTGGAAGGCAGCTGTTGCAAAGCATACTTTGCCTTTGTGCTACCTGGCCCTTTGTGATGCCCCTTCTTCGCAGTTACGCGCTGCCTTCAAACTGAACGTGGCGTGGGCGAGCCTCCTCGGGCACAGAGACCTCTTGCTGCTGCGCTGCGGGTTCATTCGTCTAGGGCACATCGATCATCGGCCATCCAGGGCTGCCATCTTGCGGTGTATTTTCTGTGACAGGCGTTATTCGAGCATCCACTCGCACGTTGTCTGCCGGTGCAGTCACTTTGAAACATGCAGGCGCCCCTGCATGCCATGCGACAGCTTGAGCATACTCAATGTACAGCCGGGGGCTCCGCTATTTGAGCAAGTCGTTGTGCTTGCCAGCTGTATCTGCTCCGAAGCCTTCACGGCTACAGCTCAGAGTCGTAGGCTCGTTGGGCAAAGCGCATGTGCTCACTGAATAGGCAGGGTTCTCGGTGGCATGTCTGCGCTGCTGCGGCAGTGGCTGATGGCTTTTCCGAGGGCTGGGGCATCTGCCGGGATGATCAGTGACCACATGGATGAGGTGTAGGGTGAGCATATGTCCTGCCCTGGACTGACACGCATGTGTCTACCTACCAACCAACCAACCAACCAACCTAAACCGTACACAGACCAGCAAGCTCCTCTTTTTGTGTGAGACCGGGCCCTAACTTTAGGAGTGTTCTTTCACTCACATTGGGACACCTACGTTGGTTTTCAAACGACTTCCTTTAGGTGCAAAAGTGGGTGTACAGCACTCGGCGTTTGTGGGGTGGTTATGGTTGAGGGCTTAGGGGTTTCGGCAAGGGTGTAAGCCCGACCCCAACAGGGCCAGGACGTAAGCCCAGAAACTGCCAGCCCGTTCTGCCATGACAAAACGAAGCCGTTGAAGGTACATGAAGGGACCTTGAGTCCAAAACTAGGGTTTAAAGTTTCGGGTTTAGGGGTTTAGGGTTCAGTTAGGGTTTAGGGTTTAGGGTCTCGGGTTTAGGGTTTAGTATTGAGGGTTTAGGGTTTAGGGTTTAGGGTAAGCCCTACATAGACCATAAGCCCCGAAACCTCCAGCTTGGGATGTTCCCCCTTTGCGAACAAGGCCTTGAGAGGGATACTAGTACCCGCAAGTTGAATTCCTACTAAGGACTGTTAGCATATGGGGCAACCTACACCCCAAAAAACCCAGGGTTTAGGGTTTAGGGTTTAGGGTTTAGGGTTTAGGGTTTAGGGTTTAGGGTTTAGGGTTTAGGGTTTAGGGACCATAAGCATCCCAACCTACATCCCTGAACCCCTCAACTCTCAACCCCCTTCAGGTTCCTGGTCGGAGTCCTCCTCCTCATCGGGATGATGCCCGGCTCGAGGGTTTAGGGTGTAGGGTGTAGGGTGTAGGGCTTAGGGTTTAGGGTTTAGGGTTTAGGGTTTGGGCTTATTTGGGTCGAGGGTTTCCTTTTGCCACCGCGCGAATTCATTCCCAAACCCGGAAGCAAATTGCTGCTTTCGTTTTTTGTAGGGTCTCTGCATTTCGTCTTGCGCGCTTGGAGTTGGAAAGCCCTTCGCATGTCTTATATGACCACAAGTCACAAGACGACGCCCCAACACATCCGCAAACCCCAAACCCCAAACCCTAAACCCTAAACCCTAAACCCTAAACCCTAAACCCTAAACCCTAAACCCTAAACCCTAAACCCTAAACCCTAAACCCTAAACCCTACCCCCCCTTCCTATGACGAAGCTAGGATCTGCTTCTACAGCTTAGCGATTTGGGCCACCTTTGTGGCGCCGAAGAAAGCAGCTGCTGGCAACGCCTGGCTACTCGTGGGGTCAACAGCCTTCAGGGTTGGTTGAGGTTTAGGGTTTAGGGTTTAGGGTTTAGGGCTTGGGGTTTAGGGTTTGGGGTTTGGGGTTTGGGGTTTAGGGTTTTAGGTTGGGGTGTTCCCCCCTTATACTTACAGTCCTTAATGGGGATTATAGTATGGGGTACTATGGTCCTATGGTCCTTATCAAGGACTGTTAGAATAAGGGGGAACATCCCAATTTGCATGTCAAGGGTGTCAGAAGCATGCGATGGGGCTTAGTGGTTAACCGAGTAATCCCGTACCCTTGCCCACCCCCCCCGCCCCCCAGTACCCAACACAGACCGCCCCTTCACGGCGTGATTATTCAGGTTCTGTCCTTGTTTCGTTTGGGGGTTGGCACTTTGCGTTGGATCATGGGGAAAAGGAGGGGTTTAGGGTTTAGGGCTACCGGCCCCCCACTTGAAGGCGCAGACGCCTCGAGGGTAGCGGTTGAGTCACTGACTCTTGGGAGTCCTGAGAAAGATGCCCAATCAGGGGCCAGGCTCTTCATGCTGAAAGATCATGCCATAGGACTCTACCTTGGACCACTAGTGTTGCACCTTGGGTTTGGGGACCCCTTTTGAAGATCTCCTAAGGGCATATATGCCGTCCATATGAGGAGTATGTTCCGGGAACCTCTCCGGGGTACATCCTTATAGGTGTCCGACGAGTATGTCTCCCTTGATCATGCACTCTACAAGAACCTGACCGACGAATCCAACGCACAGTCGTTTGTTCTAGGTGTAGATGCTTTAGGAAAACATGACACGCTCGGAAAAGATGACGCTCGCTCCTTCTTCACCTCCCTGTTCACAAAAGTCCGAGGTTTCTCGCCGCCACGCGGTTTTTGCTTTTCCGCTTCCGCACGGACATCTGGTGGTTTGGAACGTTCATGCCCCTCGGCGCTGTGCTTTTGTTATAGGGTTCTTAAGTAGTGGGGAGTACTAGGGAACCTTGGTTCACCTACACCCCCCCCCCCCCCCCCCCTTGAACCCCAAACCCTAAACCCTAAGGCCCTAAACACTCCCTTAAGTTAGAACCCTATACTTATACTAACAGTCCTTCATAGGGGTGAACGTATCCCCTGTTAGCATCCCTATGTAGAAGGAGGAACCCGGATGCGTTAGCTGCCACTCCCTGTGGCATGAAAGGTTTCATTTAACACCAAACTGGCAGTTGCGATCTTGGAGTCCCTAAGCCCTAAACCCTAAACCCTAAACCCTAAACCCTAAACCCTAAACCCTACACCCTAAACCCTAAACCCTACACCCTACACCCTAAACCCTATACCCTATACCCTAAACCCTAAGCCCTAAACCCGAACCCTAAACCCACCACCTTGGGGTGAACTTCTGAGCTTTCGGTCAGTAGGGCTTAGGGGGGCAGCACAGGGTTGGAGGGGAAGTGGCCCCCCAGGCTTTTCGGGATGATCCCCTACCGGGGCCCAACCTGTTTCCGACGACCCGGTGCCACACCCTAAACCCAAAAGGGTTTAGGGTTTAGGGCTAGGGTTTAGGGTTTACTGTTTAGGGTTTAGGGTTTACGGTTTACCCTACAATCCGACAAGCCCTAAACCCTATGAACCCTATAAGCCCTCAACGGACTGAGCGCACGGCACCTGCTGCATCAGCTTCGGCCCCGCAATGCCTTGTCTTGGGACCCTGAAGCCCTAAAGCCCTCCCTTGAAAAGCACCCTGAAGTTGTGTTTAATTCGGGTTTAGGGTTTAGGGTTTAGGGTTTAGGGTTTAGGGTTTAGGGTTTAGGGTAGGAAGCAGTTTCCAGGTTCGAAAGGGTAGGACGATTCATTTTTATGGGGTGGGCTTTGTATAATAGGGTCTTTCAGGGAGGGGGTTCATGGGGGGTAGCTTGGTACATACCCTCCTGGACCTCCCTCTCTTAACTACCTACAACTATGGAGCCGTTAAACCCTAAACACAAAACCCTAAACCCTAAACCTGATCGCGGCTGAGGCTGCCTCGTGGCCTGTTGTTGTCGCTGTCCATCGTTGCTGCTGGCGACAGTCCCTATGTGCAGGCGGGCGTCGGTGACACAACCCCATCTACGGCAGGGTTTAGGGTTTAGGGTTTATGGTTTAAGTGTCCTCTGACTGCTGCGCAGTCCTGGTTGCAAAAGGTGTCCTCTGAAAAAAGGGTGGGGGGAGGTTAGGGTGTTTAGGGCTTAGGGTTAGGGTTTAGGCTTAGGGTGTTTAGGGCTTACAGGGCATGTACGTCTTTTGGTTTAGGTGTCCTCTGCAAAAGGGAGTTCGGGTGTTTAGGGCTCGTAGGGCTTTTGGGGCATTTAGTGCGTTTCGGGCTCATGGGCTAGGACAAGTGTCTGGGCTTAGCAAAATTGGGGTCAAAGCAGCCTCTAGCGTTTTAAAACGGAAGAGCTGTGTCCTTCGCTCCCCACAGGCCGGAGCACCGTGTGCCACACTGCTAGGGTTCTTAAGGGAGTGAGTGGGGGTTCTTAAGGGAGTGGGCCAAGGTTGCCTAATACTTTGCCGTACTCCCAAAGCTCCCTAAGCGTTTGCAAGGTTGACTATAGGTACCTACCCCCCTTGAAGTACCCATGCTTCTCGACCCTAAACCCTAAACCCTAAACCCTAAACTGTCCCCTGAAAGATGCTCCTCATCGTGTCCGTCATGCTGGGATACATGGTGGTGCAGCGCCATGGCCGACGGCTGTCTTGACGGTTCGGCATTTGGGGTTTAATGCTTAGAGGCCCCAAACCTTGTAAACCCTAAGCCCTAAACCTGAACCCCAAACCCTAAGCCCTAAACCGTAACCCTAAACCCTAAACCCTAAACCCTAAACCCTAAACCCTAAACCCTAAACCCTACACCCTAAACCCTAAACCCTAAACCCTAAACCCTCCCTTGTTTTGGGGCTTTAGGGCTTTAGAGCCTAGAGGATGCCCAAGGGCTTATGGGGGATTTGCAGCCTGAAATGTAGAGGGTGACTATGACGATCAACAAGTGCTTGCACTTCCTGGAGTTCTTACGTGCAGGGTAGGGTTTAGGGTTTAGGGTTTCGGGTTTAGGGTTTTAGGGTTTTAGGGTGTTAGGGTTTTAGGGTTTTCGGGTTTTAGGGTTTAGGGTTTAGGGTTTAGTGTTTAGGGGTAGGGCGAAGTAGATCGCCGCACCGGCGCGCGTGGGCTTTCAGAGAGCCTCGAAATCGATGGCGTTCCCGTGTTTCGTGGAGGGCTGGGCAGGCGACAAGGGTTTAACCCTGAACCCTAAACCCTAAAACCCTAAACCCTAAAATCTCATGCAGATGACAAGGGTTTCTAGAGTCAGTGCTTAGAGGTTAGGAGCCTGCAGGTTTCTAAGGGTAGTCCCATGGGCCCGTAATATGGTCCCTAATCCTCCTTTAAAGGGTTCTGATGTATGGGAGCCTTAGTTTGTGTAGAGTCAATAAGGGGTATTTCAGGGGTACCCTTCTAAGGACAAGCTACCCTGAGACACAACGTGACAAGTAAGCAGGGGCTCTGCACATTAAAACCCAAACCCCAAACGAAGCCCCCTACACCCTCAGATCCGAAACCTACCCAACCCCCTTGCAGCCTTAAACCATCTTAAGCCCTAAACCCTGAAATTCTAAAGCCTAAGTATAAACCCTTAAATTCTCTACCCCAAACCCCTCCCCTCATCCTAACCCTGCAAATTCTAAACCCTAAACCCTTAAATTCTATACCCCAACCCCTCCCCAACCCCTCCCCTCATCCGACACATCTGAGGCTCATATCGTGGCCGTGGAAGCTCCCTGCCCTAAACGGCTTCGATGCCGTGATCAGCATCGCCCTGATCTTGATGTCTCTTTGCTGAAAGTGTGGTGTTGGGGTTTAGGTTTTAAGGTTTAGGGTTTAGGGTTTAGGGTTTAGGGTTTAGGGTTTAGGGTTTAGGGTTTAGGGTTTAGGGTTTAGGGTTTAGGGTTTAGGGTTTAGGGTTTATTGAGAGTTTAGGGTTTAGGGTTTAGAGTTTAGGGTGGTTTTGGGGTTGGGCTTAGAGTTTACATGGTTTGGCACAACATTTCGACGAACTTTTCCCGGCTGGTTCACATAGCTGTCCCATGGATGTTAAGTCTGCCTTTGTGGGGCTGAACTCCCGAGACGATGATGGTTTGGATGCTGGCATACAGGCGCACAGACAGAGAGAGAAGAGAGAGAGAGAGAGAGAGTGAGCCAGTGAGAGAGAGAGATAGAGAGAGAGATAGAGAGAGATAGCGAGAGATAGAGAGAGAGAGAGAGAGAGCGAGCGAGCGAAACATAAAACAAAAAGCGAGGCAATCTTTGGTACAGGGTAGATTTGCGGTGAGGAATGCGTAAGGAACAAAACCCCCCAGACTCAGATTGGACTCACAAAAGCTACCCCAGGCCCGGTAGGAACCCAAACCTGAAACCCTGAAACCTCGAAGACTAGCATGAGTGCCCTGCTTCTTTTTGCATTTGCTGTTAGGATCCCATCCAAACCCTTTAGCCAAACAAAAACTCACTGTTCTTATTCTTATGTTACTGGGTAGCCAGCCCTGAGCCTAGAAACCCTAAACCCTAAACCGTAAACCTATCTAAACCCTAAACCCTAAACCCTAAACCTTAAGCCCTAAACCCGAAACCTTAAACCCTAAACCCTAAACCCTAAACCCTAAACCCTAAACCCCAAACCCTAAACCCTATCTAAACCCTAAACCCTAAAGAAAAGGGCTCCATGTTCCTTAGGGTCCCTGCACAAGGATGGCTATTTTGGGAGCCTTCGCCCCTGTCTTGAGTACTGACGTACAGCAGAGGCCGGCAGAGATGGGTCTTGGGATTAGGGTTGGGCCAAGGGTTTAGGGTTTAGGGTTTAGGGTTTAGGGTTTAGGGTTTAGGGTTTAGGGTTTAGGGTTCAGGGTTTAGGGTTTATAGGGTTTAGGGTCTGGAGGCCGGAGCCAGGCACCTGGAACACAAGAGGGTTTTGGGGTTTAGGGTCTAGCCAAGAGCCCCCAAAACCGAAGCCCAACGACACGTGCATGGTCAGCTGAGGGAGAGGCACCTGATGCCCTCCCGAAACAAGGCTGCCTGCTCTTACACGAATCTCCACCCAATTTCACACGAGGGTCCCTTGACAGGTAACGCAGGGATATACCCGCTGTCTAACTACGGCTTGGGTTGGGGAGTTCTTCTAAAGCTAGGGCAACTTGGGGGTGCCTAAACCTTAAACCCTAAGGCCTCAGGGCCCCGGGTGCTCGAACAACCCCGGCCGAGTTTTTTGCTGGATCAAGGGTTTACGGCAGTCTGCTGTGCTGAGTGACACTGGAAGGTTCATCTATGAAGCTCAGCAGGTGCTTAAGGTTTAGGGGTTTAGGATTTAGGGTTTAGTAGCTGAATGAGCACACTTTACACTTTTTGGGATACGATTTTCCCCTATACAACTGAAAGTGTACACTTGTCGGGGGCCTCGGAACTCAGCAACTAAGAAATGATGCCTTCTTTGGGATACGATTTCTGAGGAACCCTAAACCCTAAACCCTAAACTCTAAACCCTAAACCCTAAACCCTATTTGACGGCCCCCCTGTGGACCAGCCCCGCTCCCGCAGGCTTACGAGCGCGGTCATCGGCATCATCTTCTTCCTCAACGCGGCTAAGTTCAACCCTGCAGTTAGGGTTTAGGGTTTAGGGTTTGGGGTTTGGGGTTTAGGGTTTAGGGTTTAGGGTTTAGGGTCAGCATGGAAGGAACGGGTATACGGTAGACTTTAGACTTGCGATCTACAGGGGGCGGGGGGGCTATCTCGGCAATGGGGGGCTGAACCCCACATCCCAGTCCGAATTGTGGCGTATTACTTGGAGGCTGAGAGTGCTTATAACCCCAATCATACCTACACTATATAAGCCCCCCAAGTCCTATAAGTAGTTTTGCGTAGTAGACTTGTGATAGGGGTTCTAAGTCCCCAAACCCTAAACCCTAAATCCTAAACCCTAAACCCCAAACCCTAAACCCTAAACCCTAAACCCTACCCATGAACCTCCACATCCTTGACGCGCTAGAGCTGGGGCTGGGTACTTTGGAACCCTGAGAAGAAAGCTACGGTTCCAGGAGCTCCGAGTGCCAGGGAAATGTTGTTTAGGGTTTAGGGTTTAGGGTTTAGGGTTTAGGGTTATCTGGGCTTCCCTCAGGCCCGAAGCCGCGTGTGAACCAGGTCATGGTGTTTGGAATGCTCTGCGTCACCGCCTCTGCGCTGATTCGCCGCTTGACCAGAAGAATGCTGGGCTTGGGGACGGGGGGTGAGTGTGCCACCCAGCAAGATGCCAGCAAAGAATGATGGGGCTTATCTCCCTTAGTTAAGCACTTTAGTACAAAAAACACTCTGGTGGTTGGTGGGGGTGCCTGGTGCATTGTGGGGGCGAATTTTCCCGGGAAGATGTAAACCTAAAAGGTGGGTTGAAAAGATTGTGGCGACCTCGTGAACAACATCAACCCCCAGACCTGTGATCCGATGCCCAGAGGTGCACCAGGCTAGTATAACCACTGTTGTCCACATGTGTTTCGGGTTCGCTATGGTTCTGGTAGCCCGGCAAAAGCCCTTAAAGCCCCAAGCAAGCCGCGAAAGAACATGAGCCCCGACAACCCCCAAAGCCCTCGCCCACCTGTACGCGTGCGAGAGTCGAAGCTCAACCGAAACTCTGGACGCCTGCTTGCAGACGGCGTGTCGCCTGATGCCCTCAGCCCATGAAGCTCCAAACCGAAACCAGCAAAAGCCAAGAACCCCATCCCCAGACCTCAAACAAAATGAGACCATCCCTGAACCCTGAACCTTCACTCCCTCAAAGCATGCTGCGGCTTTTGCAGCAGTGTTGCGTGGCAGTGCGTCTTCAGGGTCATCTAGGCAGGCGGCCAAAAAGAAGCCCACACGACCCGACACCGCGAGGTCTGAACGTCATGGGCGGCTCGCAGGAGAGCGTGATACTGGCGCTTGGCCTCTTGGTTGAGGGTTTTAGGTTTTGTTTTTTTGTGAGGGTTTAGGGGTCTTCGGCGTTCTTGGGGTTTAGTCAGGGCTTATGTTTTGGTTTTGAGATTTCGGGTCGAGTTTAGGGTTTAGGGTTTAGGGTTAAACCTGCTTGGACATCTGTGGAACCTGGCAGAGCTCGCGGAGCCAAAAGGGCTCTCAACGGACTGGAGGAGGGACCCTTGCAAGGGACCTTAGGGGTTTCGGTTTAGGGTTTAGGGTTTAGGGTTTAGGGTTTAGGGTTTAGGGTTTAGGGTTTAGGGTTTAGGGTTTAGGGTTTAGGGTTTAGGGTTTAGGAGGTTATTTACTGGCTTTTTAGGTATATAGGGACTAAAGGTCCCTGCTAGGGGTCCCCCCTTATATCCCGTAAGGTTCTGAAAAGCCTTTGAGCCCTGTAAGCCCAGAACCTCAGGTGTGAGTTTCGCTGTCAGCCCGCCTTCTCTCTTTCTTTTTTTTCTTCAGGCTACCCTAAACCCTAAACCCCAAACCCTAAACCCTAAATCCGAAACCCTAGATCCTAAACCCTGACCCTAACCAGAGAACCTCAGTCCATGCTGATGTCAAGAAAACCTGAATCCCCAGACCCATGAGGACGTGTTGAGATCTGAAGTCCGCACTTCAGAAGAGTAGGGTTTGAGGGTTCAGGGCTCCCCAAACCTCCACCCCTTAAGGGGGCACCACAAAAAACTGTAAGGGTTTAGGGTTTAGGGTCTCGGGCCCACTGTTTCGGGTTAAAGACAATTTGGGGCTACAGGTACGGCACAGAGTGAGGCCTGCATAGGAGAGTCGGTGCCATGTGCAGAGCTGCAAATTCCACCTTTGCCGCCAAACCCTAAACCCTAAACCCTAAACCCCAAACCCCAAACGCCTAAGGCAAGATTCCACAGCCAGAAGTGCTGAGTCAGAAGTTCCTCATTCTCTCCACGAAGGTCCAGGACGTCCCATACTGCCCTGGTCTAACTCTATATGTATATATGTATGTATGTATGTATGTATGTATGTATGTATGTATGTATGTATGTATGTATATATATATATATATATAAATATGTACATGTATATATATATATATACATATGTATTACTTTGGGTCTCTGTGCCCCAAAAACACCTGATACAGAAGAATCCTTAGAGCCTTGGGGTAGGGGTGTGGTTTAGGGCTTATGCTTTGGGGTTTAGAGGGGCGCTTTCTAGCAGTCCAGTTTCAAAAACAGGGTCCAGGGTTTGTACGGTTCAGGATACCTTTTTTTGGGGTTCCTATAGCAAGGGTTATCGTATTTTTGGGGCATGTGTCGGGTACCCTTGTGGGCTCGGGCGTAACACTTGCTTGGGATGACGTTCGAGAGGGAGCCTATAGGACTCAGACGGTGCAGAGAGAACTGTCAGGATCGTACGAAGCCTATGCCACGAGATCCCGGTTAGGGTTTAGGGTTTAGGGTTTAGGGTTTAGGGTTTAGGGTTTAGGGTTTAGGGTTTAGGGTTTAGGGTTTAGGGTTTAGGGTTTGGGGGGGTTGATGGCCCAAGAGCCTCTGAAGGCTTCCTTTGATCCACAATGATGATGGATGCTAGGGCTTTGGAGGGGTTGGGGTCGGCAGTTGCTAACGTGACCTCAAGCTTCAAGGGCCTCAGGGAAAGCAGTAGAGCTTAGGGTCTAGGGCTTAAAGGTTAAGGGTTTAGGGTTTAGGGTTTGGGGTTAGGGTTTAGGGTTTAGAGTCCAGGTTTAGTGCTTAGGGTTTAGGGTGTAGGGTTTAGGGTTGAGGTGAGGAGTGCAAGGAGAGCCAAAAATATGCCTTCGCTGCGGGAGCAGAGAGAGACTTCCCCCGGCCGGTGTGCAGATCTGGTGTGCCGTTTGTTCCTCTGAACCCTAAACCCTAAAGTTTAGGGTTTAGGGTTTGGCGTTTCACAACACTCGTATATCTCGGAGAGCTCGGCTATTGCAAACATACGATTTACATCTTTTGGAAAATTCCCTCCAAAATATCAAGAGCTACCGAAGAGGCTTTGGGCGGGCATTACAGAGGACCCCTAAACCTAAACCCTAAACCCGAAATCCTTCACCCCAAACCCTAAATCCTAAACCCTAAACCCTACATCCCCCCTGTAGCACTGAAGGTGTGCGTCTCCAACTAGGTGTCGACTCCCAGGTCGGAAAGCCTGCGTTCCGACTGTTTCAGCTGTGGTTTAGGCAACCTAGGGTTGAGGGGTTTAGGGGTTTAGGGTTTAGGGTTTGGGGTTTAGGGGTTTAGGGTTAGGGCTTCGGGTTTAGGGCGGTGTCCCAAATTCCGGAAGTGTCCGGGCGTCGCCAGGAGTTGGGAGACGAGAGCTTTGCAAAGCTGCTCGAGAAGCTTTGCAGAGATCGGACGGCTAGAAAGGAGGGTCCGGGGTTTAGGCTTTCCTGGTTCAAGCCCTAAACCCTACACCCCAACCCAAACTCGGAGCCTTGCCTAAACCCTAAATCCTAAATCCTAAACCCGAAACCCGAAACCCGAAACCCTAAACCCTAAACCCTAAACCCTAAACCCCTTCTTGACATGAGAAATGGCACGCTGCGCCTACTAGGGAGCCTTACTAGCTGGCCAACGAAGCCCTCGAGGGTTGCAAAAGGGTTAGGGTTTAGGGTTTAGGGTTTAGGGTTTAGGGTTTAGGGTTTAGGGTTTAGGGTTTAGGGTTTAGGGTTTAGGGTTTAGGGTTTAGGGTTTAGGGTTTAGGGTTTAGGGTTTAGGTGGGGGGACCCCTTCGGGGTGTTCAGTAGGGTTTTAAGGGTTCAGGGGTTTGGGTTCAGGGTTTGGGGTTTAGGGTTTAGGGCTTAGGGTTTAGGGTTCAGGGTTGATGGTTTACGGTTTAGGGCTTAGGGTTTAGGGCTTAGGGTCAAAAGGTATCCAGGCAACCAGGGTTCAGGGTTTAGGGGTCCGTATACCAAGAGGGGTGTATAAGGGGCACCCTATTTCGGGAAACGCCTTCTTAACACTGAAGAAGTGCGCTCATGTGAGGGCCTAAGTCACGGCCAGTACCCTAAACCCTGACCCCTAACCCCTAACCCTCTCACAAATGGGACCAGAATTCTGGAAATCTGGCAGGGCTTGGGACCCCCAAGCTCCGACACCCTCAACCCTAGACACGCACGAAACCCCCCAAAACCCTAAGCCATGAACCCTGGACCCTAAACCCTCAACCTCAAAAACGCGCACCCAGGAATCTTTCCATCTACGACCTGCGCATGATGGCACAGATCATCACAGCGGTGGCATCCGAGGTTGGGTAAAGAGAAGTCTCTGGCTGGTTCTTAGTAGGGAATGAGCCTAAACCTAAACCCTAAACCCTGAACCCTAAGCCCTGAACCCTGAACCCTAAACCCTAAGCCGGGGGGGAAGTGGACGACCGGGGGCTGGATGCTCTGAGGTTGGAGATATCACCTTCGCGGGCCAGGGGACCTGAGTTTGGGGGGGTTACCCTAAACCCTAAACCTTAAACAACCCTAAACCCTAATTAAACCCCTAAACCCTCTCCATCCCATGAAAGGTTGGTGAGGCGGGCTTACTTCTGTCGAGGCGTTCGCAGCAGCTCGGCGGTTTCAGCAGGTTTAGGGTTTAGGGTTTAGGGTTTAGGGTTTAGGGTTTAGGGTTTAGGGTTTAGGGTTTAGGAAAAAGGGTTTAGGGTTGCAAACGTGTTCAACTTGGGCCCAGTGTTTGGGGTTGAGAGTTTGGGGGTAAAGATCCCTTGAACCCTCCACCCACCCCAAGGCCCCCAAGCCCAACTTATGTAGGGTCCGCATGTGGCAGGTATTTTCGGGGGTCTGGGGTCTTGGTCAAAGAGCTTAGGGTTCAGTTTCCGTAATGAGGCCATGGTTTTATGCTATAACCCTATAAATGAACCTCAGTTTGAGCCAGAACCCAGCAACAAAGCTGATGTTTATAGGGCTCGGTCTATTGTGTTGGGGGCGTGGAAAGACGCGCTGTCAAATCCATAGGTGACATAGCTGGCGGCTCACTGTCTCTCACGTACCAAATCATGGTTGCAAGCAGACGCCGGGTTGTTTTCTCAGGGTAGGGGCATGATACATAGGGTATGGTCAAGAATTCTCCCTGAACCCCCCTCGTTCGGGACGGGTGGTGACCGGAGCTTTGGTCTTCACCCCTCTACTCCTTGGGCACAGCGACAGGGACCTGTTTGCAGGTGAATGGCCCGAGCCTGCCATTCCCCTTTTCACAGGAAACGGTGGTGAATGAGTGAGTCCCCGGAGCGCATGGGTCGCGTTGTGCACGTAGTATCCGCGTAGAGGGATCTGCGGAGAAGTGTGCCTGCTGCTTTGGCACGCGGCTGCGCGTTGCCCAACGCAGAGGCGATGTTGTCTGCCTGGCTTAGTACCTTGAAGAGGGATCTTCGGGAGAAGCGCTTTTTTTGCATGGGCCTCAGCGAGGATGGCACGCTGTCTTGCCTTTATGCCGGTTTTCCGGTGGCGGGCCTGCCTAGTTGTGGTTCCATGCAAATGGACAAACCCTCTTGCTTAATCGGGCTTGCCGAAATTCCACAGCCCTAAGCCCTAAACCCTAAACCCTAAACCCTAAACCCTAAACCCTAAACCCTAGGGAGAAATCTGGAAGCCACTCATAAAATCCACTTCGAGCACCCAGGAGGTCAAGTAATGTAGGGACCCCATTTGAATGGAATGGCATTTTGGGGTTTAGGGTTTAGGGTTTAGGGTTTAGGGTTTAGGGTTTAGGGTTTAGGGTTTAGGGTTTAGGGTTTAGGGTTGTATTGCATAGTCGCTTATTTCGTCTGAAGGTGGTTTTTGTGGGCGATACGCATGTGAGGGAAGTACAGGGATGAGCTGGGAGCTGTTGGTAACTGTGTGGGGTTGTTAGCGCCCAAACCCTAAACCCTAAACCCTAAACCCTAAATCCTAAACCCTAAACCCTAAACCCTAAACCCTAAACCCTAAACCCTAAACCCTAAACCCTAAACCCTAAACCCTAAACCCTAAACCCTAAACCCTAAACCATAAACCCTAAACCCTAAACCCTAAACCCCCAAAACCCTAAACCCTAAACCCTAAACCCTAACCCACCTCCCCCCCCCCCGCCCCCCCTATAGAGCCCTGAACCCATGTGGACGGCCGAAAAGGATGTTGTCTACCTCCTCGGTATCGAAGGACCTCGCCTCAGCTCTGCTTACCAACAGGGTTTAGGGTTTGGGGTTTAGGGTTTAGGGTTTAGGGTTCAGCAGCTCATGTACTAGCTATCACTAGTCAAGCTTTTTCATCGTGTGATGGAGAAGTACCCACCAGAGAACCCCAAAACATTAAGATTTTCTACACTTACCATTTTCAGCCGCAGCCCTAAGCCTTCCCATCCCCAAAGCTCCATAAACACTGAAGAAGGGGGGGGGGGGGGGGGTGGCAGGGAGCGGGGGCAGGGAGGGGGCGGGGGCAGGGGGGCAGGGGGGCACACGAAGCGGGAGGGAGGGGGGGGGCCAAGGCATAAACCTTGTTCGGCAAGGCACAAACCTTGGTGGGCAAGGCACAAACCTGGCGGGCAAGGCACGGGCGTGCCTTGCCCACTGAGGTTTGTCATGGTCTTTGCCTTGCCCACTAAGGTTTGTGCCTTGCCCACGAACCCATCAGGGTTTATATATATATATATACACATATATATATAGACAAATAGTAAGAGAGGTTTAGGGTTTAGGGCCTAGGGTTCCATCGAAGTTCCGATCCAGGCTCCTCAGCCTTTCTGTCTAGGACAGCCGGGAAAACCCGGCTGAACTTCCACAAACCAAAATGGCCCTAAGGATCCATGCCCCTAAATATTTGGGGTTTAGGGTTAGGGTTTAGGGTTTAGGGTTTCGGGTTAGGGTTTAGGGTTTAGGGTTTAGGGTTTAGGGTTTAGGGTTTAGGGTTTGGGGTTTGGGGTTTGGGGTTTGGGGTTTGGGGTTTGGGGTTTGGGGTTTTCCGGAAAAAGGGAATACCTTCTCGTGGGTCTGTTTTTAAGGGACCCCAAATGGTTTTTTGTCTCCATACTTGTTTGGGAGTTTCAGATCAAAAGTCAGCAGCGAAATTAGGGTACCTTATTGGGGTCCTTATTATAAGGGGATCCTACTATTTGCGGGTCTAAAGTAGGGGTCCCCTATTTTCTTCGTAAACCGCAAATAAACCTTGCAAAGCCATCCTTTGTCTGTGTCCGAAGCAACGATAACATCTGTGTACATGCGCAGCCGAGTATTCATAGCAACTGGCGAACGGAATGATAATGCAGGAGCTACCTAGATTCTCCCGCTGACAATCTCTGATATGCGCGTAGCGAGCACGACCCAAAATACCCACTCAATTTAAGTAGGGTTTGGGGCTTTCGGGGGTTTTGGGGGGGTTCGGGGGCTTCTGCGGTTTCGGGGTTTAGGGGTTTTCGGGGGTTTAGGGGATTTACTCAGCGTCTAAGCGCACATAAGGTTTACGGCTTCGGAGAGCACCAGCTACCCCAGCGAGCCTCGAACCCCTAAGCCCTAAACCCTAAACCCTAAACCCTAAACCCCGCTATATGAAGCCCTAGACCCCACAAAAAACATGGGTTTCCCCACAACTTTTCCCTCTGTATACTACCCCGCCTGGGTTCCCCCCTTAATATGTTGGGGCAACCTTAAGGGGGGGTAGTTTAGGGGGGGGGGGGGGGAGTTGGTAGGGGAACCCATGACAGAAATTCCTAAACCCCTACACCCCTTGGGCCCGATACCCTGAAACCCAAAACCCTAAATCCCAAAACCCTAAACCCTAAACCCTAAACCCTAAACCCTAAACCCTAAACCCTAAACCCTAAACCCTAAACCCTAAACCTCCCTAAATCCCCACACCCCTCCTTTACCTTGGGGGCTGCAGGTGCAGGAGAAGTTGGAGGCGATAGCGACGAAGAAGGAGGCGGAACTGTCAGTGTCGGAACTGGAACAGGCCGACGCTTGCGATTGACTTTTCATTTTGTTTTTTGGGGTTTAGGGTTTAGGGTGTTTAGAGCTTATTTGCGATTTACTGTTCATTTTGTTTTTGTTGGGGTTGGGGGCGGGGGGCGGGGGGGGGGGTCAGGGTTTAGGGTTTAGGCTTTTCAGGGGTTAGGGTTGATTTGCGATGTACTTTTCATTTTGTTTTTTGTTGGGGTTTGGGGCGGGGGCCCGGGGGGGGTCAGGGTTTGGGGTTTAGGGTTTTTGGGGGTTAAGGTTTATTTAGGGTTTAGGGTTTTAGGGTTTAGGGTTTAGGGTTTAGGGTTTAGGGTTTAGGGTTTAGAGGGGGGTTTGCATAGGGCATAGCTTTGGGTACTGCGGGCAGGAGAGGCTTGGGGTTTGAGAGGGAGTTTACCAGGCTGAGATGGATCTCAGAAGGTGCTTAGGGTTTAGGGTTTAGGGCTGAGGGTTTAGTAGCTGACCTTACAGTCTTTCGGATAATCCCTTCCCCCTTTTATTAAATACCCCCCTAATAATAAAAATACTTTCCGGAAAAACCTCCCGAAACCGAGCCCGCCTTTTAAAACCTATTCCGAATTAGGGGGGGGGTTCAGGGCTCCTGAAACCCTGAAGCCAAGGAGGGTTTAGGGTCAGGGTTTAGGGTTTAGGGTTTAGGGTTTAGGGCTTAGGGTTCATTAAGGGTTTAGGCTTCGGAGTCAAGGCTTTCTCCGTAGCTCTGTCTGAGCCTCGCTGTGCTGCGAAAGTTGAGCTCTCCCCTTCTCTCTGTCTCCTGTCTCTCTGTACAGCACAATGAAGTACTTCATTACTTGAGTAACCCTGAAGTCTAATTTGGCGACATTTCGATAAAAATACCCCCTAATAATAAAAATACTTTTCGAATTTTTAAGGGGGGGGGGGGACCCCCCGTTTAATATTAGGGGGAAGGGATTAACTACAATCCCCTACAGAACTGAAAGTGTACACTTTTTTGGGGGGGCTTACGAACTCAGCAACTAAACCCTAAACCCTAAACCCTAAACCCTAAACCCTAAACCCTAAACCCTAAACCCTAAACCCTCCATGCAGGAGAAGCTGCCAGACCCCGAAGCAGAAGCTGAGCCTGAGCCAGGATGGCAACCGCCGGATTCCCTGAATCAGAAGACAGAGTCCACCTGGTTGTAGTCATTCGGGACCCCGGCTTTAGGGTGTAGGGTTTAGGGTTTAGGGGTTAGGGTTTAGAGCTATATAAAGAGGTTATAATGGGGGGGGGGGGGGTTTAGGGTGTAGGGTTTAGGGTTTTAGGGTTTAGGGTTTAGAGCTATAGAAGGGGTATATAAGGAGGTTATCATGGGGGGGGGGGGGAAGTTGTGGGCATTTTGTCACCGGTTGTCACTGGTGTCTTTGTCTGGGGGTTTCTCTTAAGCAAGTTCTTTTTTGTGGGGGGTTTAGGGTTTAGGCTTTAGGCCAGGGTTAGGTTTCATGGCACTTCGAAGCCTGTAGAACTTGGGAACCCAGTGGTTCCCTTTAGGGTTCAGGGTTTAGGGTTTAGGGTTTAGGGTTTAGGGTTTAGGGTTTAGGGTTTAGGTTCCCGTGTAAAGTAAGCAACCTCAAACGAAGGGTGCCCTTATTGTAGTACGGCTACTGGGTTCCCAAGTAGGCATATGTCATCGTTTGTCACTGGTGTCTTTCTCCGGGGGGGTTTCTCTTAAGTACGGTCTTTTTTGGGGGTTTAGGGTTTTAGGGTTTAGGGTTTAGGGTTTAGGGTTTAGGGTTTAGGGTTTAGTAGCTGGAACGAGTACACTTTATACACCCCACAGAACTGAAAGTGCATACTTTTTGGGGGCTTCTAAGAACTCGGCAACGAGATAGAGGGACGTTGAAAGGAACCCCAAACAGGGCACCCCAACAGCAAAGTAAGAATAGAATAGGAATATACCCACCAGGGTCCCTATATTCCCTTTATATGAAACCCTAAACCCGAAACCCTAAACCCTAAACCCCTATTCTTGGGGTTCCCTGTTTGGGTTTCCCATTCAGATCCTTTTAAATGCAGGCACACGCATGGACGACCCAAGTGCAATCAGGCATCCAGGCGCCGCATGATCTCCAAAATCAGAAAGTACCATTTATCAGGCTGTGCTGTACCGGACAAACTATTTGCCCGGGTTTGTTGCGGCGTCTTTCTGTCGCCTCATGGGGGCTTCAGCAAAGTTATGCCCAAACCCTAAACCCTAATCTGTAATTATTCACTGGAGTATGATCCCCAACAAGACCAGGATTTGGAGAAGCCCCCCCCATGAAGGTTTCGTTCGAGCTTCTTCCATGTGATTCGTGGAATGCGTTTGGGGTTTAGGGTTTAGGGTTTAGGATTTGGCAGGCAGTGCAGCAGTCCTAGCCGTAAAAAAGGGTTTAGGATTTAGGTTTTTGGGCTTAGGGTTTAGGGTTCGGGTTCAAAAAGGGTTTAGGGTTTAGGGACTGGGACCTGCAAATTGTGTGTGTTCGGATTTAGGGTTCATAGTTGATCGAGGGTTCACACCTGAGAAAAGGCGTCGAAGCAGCTGGGGCCGAAAATAGGGTGTACCCTTTTGGGGGGTCTCTTGAAGGCGAATTTTTCATTCGGGGCGTAAAAGGGGTACCCCTATGTTTGGGAAGTGCCCAATTATCACCCCTGTATCAGCGCAATATTCGAATTCAACAAGACCCCTATAGATCATGGACTCTAATCCGATGGGCCTACGGTGCCTACAGAGCGTCTTGTAAGAGGCTAAGACCTGTTCTGGTCATAAGAGCATTGCACAAACAGCATCTATCAACCTGCAACTGCCCTTTCCTGTGATTCTATCGAGCCCTCAACCCCAAACCCGAAACCCGAAACCCTAAACCCTAAACCCTAAACCCCGGGCTGGGTGCTTGAAGCCTGTTCCTGGTTCCCTACGCCGTGTCCCCCCACAACCCTAAACTGAAGCGAGCTGCGGGCGCTGTGGTGAGCAGCAGCGAGCGCGACAGCCCCTGCCAGCTGGGTCCCCGAAAGCCCAAGCTATGAATTCCCCCAAATCCCACAGCACAACGCTCGATCCGAGGAAATAAGACGGGATGGACTTTTTCGAGGAGAGCCAACAACACATGTATCAGATTTCGAAACAGGTCGCAGTTTCGGTGGGCGAGCTGCGAGGGAGCGTGAACCTTGGCGCCCACCACAGCACTGCACCCACGTGGTGATGTGCGCGGAGCATATGATACACCCTAAACCCCAAACCCCAACCCCCAAACCCTAAACCCTAGCCCTAAACCCGAAACCCCAAACCCTCTCAGCTTCGGGGCTTCGATTCAGGAGAGTACTGCTGGATGAAACCCATGTGTCCACGCGAAGAAGCTCGAGAAGCAAAATGGGCAGTCTGTTTCTGAAGGAGAGCTTCGGCTGTCTAGGGTTTAGGGTTTAGGGTTTAGGGTTTAGGGGTTAGGGGTTAGGGGTTAGGGGTTAGGGGTTTAGGGGTTTAGGGGTTGAGGGTTTAGGGCCCAGGGCCTAGGGCTTGGGATGGTTCAGGGTATTTGGGCACCCCCCTCTGCTGCACGAAAAGGTATCTTGAGGCACTCGAATTCTTGTGCCTTTTTTCGTCGGAGTAGGAGAGAGGGGACGTTCAAGTTTGAACAAGGCATTAAGGCTCGTACCCCGAAGGTTGTAACCCCAAAGGTTCCCCTTAGTCTACTCGCAATATGCACCGATATGCCGTTAAGGATCGTTAAAAAGGGTCCCCTTGACCCAAGATTACAACCTGAAACCTCGAGGGACCCTAAACCTAAACCCTAAACCCTAAACCCTAAACCCTAAACCCCCCTCCCCCCAGGTAAAACCCCTAGGTTTGAACAACTGCCTGGATCAGCAGCTCTTCCTGCAAAGCAGGGATGTGCCCTAACAAAGGCTGCATCAGGGCTCAGAGGTTGTTAAGGTTTAGGGCTTAGGGCTTAGGGCTTAGGGCTTAGGGCTTAGGGCTTAGGGTTTAGGGTTTAGGGTTGTAAACCCCAAGACCTGAGATGTGTGTTGCAGCGTTGCGGACTACGAGTGAGCCTCCAAACCCGCCCAGCCGTGGCTAGGAAGGTGGCGAAACGAACCCTAAACCCTAAACCCTGAACCCCAAATCTGGCTATACCTAGCTCTGAGGCAGCATAGCACGCTGAGTTGTCGGCGTTCGCAGAGCGATGGGAAGCAGTGCCATGGCGTCTGCAAGACAGCGCGAAGCTCCTAGGTAGGATACACCTAAATCCTAAACCCTCAACCCTAAACCCAAACCCTAAAGACCCTCAAAAGGGAGTCCCAACGCAGTGAACTTGTCGCCCACCACCAGACTCTGCATTGCCCCTGCTGCCGACCTATGCCGACTCGAAACCCTATAGCATGTGGCGCTTTGGGTTTAGAGTTTCGGGTTATCACCCTAAACCGTAAACCCTAAACCGGCATGTTCTTCGCCGAGAGTGGTTTGCAAGCAGCACCGCACCAAACAACACCACCCAAACCCAGAAGTCATACAAAGCTCCACTGCGCTGCTTTGTGGACGCGTCTTCCGTGGAGCATCGTCTCCACATCAGTGGCCTGTGAACCTGTTCCCTACTGAGATCCACAAGGCTCGGATTGGAGTCTTGCCCACGATGTTTTCCGAGACCTTCAACAATTGAAGAGACTCGTGTCCTTCGATTCCCAATGTGATCCCAAGTCCCTAAACCCTAAACCCTAAACCCTAAACCCTAAACCCTAAACCCTAAACCCTAAACCCTAAACCCTAAACCCTAAACCCTATCCCAGAAAGTCCCTGCCAAACCCTCAGCAACTCTACCTGATGCATCTGGGGAGCTTGGAAGATGTGTGCGGTTTGAGCTATGTTTCTTGAGGCTCCCTCGAGCTACAAAAAGTGCATATGGGGGGTTTCCGAAATTAGGGGTACCTTATTGGGGTCCTTGTTTTTAGGGAATCGTATTATTTGGGGGTTCTTTTTTCGGGTCCCCTATTTTCGTAAACCCCATATGGGATGAGGGTCTACAGTTGCCCTTGCTCCTTCACCTGCGCATCGCCACATCCTCATGCCCCCTCCACAGCAACCCCGAAATAGGGTTCATTAGGGTTTAGGGGTTAGGGCTTAGGGCTTAGGGCTTAGGGCTTAGGCTGGGGGCGGAAGGAATCCAAACACATGGGCATTGCCTCCCAAAAAGCGGTTTCGCGAACATGGCCGAAAGCTCAAGATATCCCTCCTGAGCGCAGGAACCTTCACGGAGGGTACCCCTATTTTCCGACTGCGTTCATATCCAAACGCCCGCGAAAGTTCTAGATCGTCTCAACCCTATACCCCAAACCCTATCATGCACTCATATACATATATTCACATACATACATACATAAATATATATATGCATCATATACATACATATTCGGATGTTAACCCAGATAAATCACAAGCAAAAAGATGTAGATGAAATTGTTTACTTCGATCATCCCCACCTGCAGCTACCCGGTGTTGTTCACAACGCCCCCCCGGCTCGATGTCCACGCACCCCCTGAAGGTTGGGATGTTGCCCCGTATACTGGTTTAGGGTTTAGGGTTTAGGGTTTAGGGTTTAGGGTTTAGGGTTTAGGGTTTAGGGTTTAACAGTCCTCACAAGGGTAAGGGATCACAATAGGGGGTACAACAATCCCTATTGAGGACTGTTAGCATAAGGGGGGAACATCTCAACCCGAAGCTCTGAACTCCACTTGATGAGTTGCCGCAGCCATGTACTTTTCCACCCGCGTCCCGACTCAGAGATCTGTACAATGAGGGGCATCCTTAGTATGCGAGCTATACTTAGGGGTACTTTTCATGTCATAGGCTAGACTTATAGCTCAAGCTAGGCCTGATGGCTTTAAATTTATAGCTTGGGATGTTCCCCCTGATACTAACAGTCCTTAATAGGGACTATAGTACCTGCTGTTAGAATCCCTATTAAGGGCCGTTAGTAGAAGTTAGTATAAAGGGGAGCATCCCCATTCATAGCTACAAAGGCCCCTCATTGTGACTTAGACACCAAGAGGTTCTGATGTCGGCGCTCCTTCGGCTTGAGAAGATTGGGGGAGGGTTTAGGGTTTAGGGCTTAGGGTGTAGGGTGTAGGGTTTAGGGTTTATAGGGTTTAGGGTTTCCCGCCTTCCAAGTTCATCACCCCCACCAACTAGTAGCTGGTGATTTCCCCGAATTATGGTCCTTTTGGGGCCCGACGAAGGGAATAGGCCATGCCCTAAGGGTCCATGTACCTCAATAGGGAGTACTCGGGCCTTAACGTACTTCCTAGACAAGGACTTTGGGGCCCAAGTAAATATTTGTGAGGTACATGGACCCTTAGGGATAGTTACCCCGCTATCCCTACTCAGAAGTGCCCCCAAGGGGGTCAGGGATTTTGGACTTGATGGGGTTTCAGCCGTTCCAGTTGCCTCAGGCCAGTATGCTAAACCCTATAAACCCTCAACCCTAAACCCTTGCCCCACAGGTCCCTATGGATGTTCATCTAAAGGCTTCGGTAGTGGTTGAAGCAGAACTAGATGGTCGAAAGCGGGCGATGTTGGGGAACAGGCTCTCCAAGCAACCGCCACATGCACCCGAACACCCAAAAGCCCTAAACCCTAGAGAGAAAATAGCTGGCGAACTGAAGAGTCCCCCTAAACCCTAAACCCTAAACCCTAAACCTTTAAACCCTAAACCCTAAACCCTAAACCCTGAACCCTAAACCCAGTGTGGAGGAGCACAGGGTTTTGTCCCAAACGTGGTTTTCCCTGTGCCCCCAGTTTCTTCCTGTAATTAGCATCCTGCACGTCCTCTTTGATCTGCCAGTTGGGAACCCTAAACCCTAAACCCTAAACCCTAAACCCTAAACCCTAAACCCTAAACCCTAAACCCTAAACCCTAAACCCTAAACCCTAAACCCTAAACCCTAAACCCTAAACCTCCCCCAAAAAGAATAAAAATCACCACGTCTCAGGATGCGCTTGCAATGGCTTGGGCTCTTGGCCCTGGTGCGCTCCGTTTCAGCCAAGTGTCCGGAGGTCGGGAGAGTCCCCCTCACATCCTGAGTTGCTGCATGAGCCGGTTTAGGGTTTAGGGTTTAGGGTACAGTACCTATATTACTCCTTTCATACTTGTATACTCATGACATACACTACTACCCAGGACCCATTCTTCGTCGATAGGGCCCGTGTGTATTGCGGCCCTTATATCCTAAACCCTAAACCCTAAACCCTCAACCCTCAACCCTAGGTCGTATGTCTTTCAGCGCTTAGCAGTTCGCTCCGACCACCTGGGTGTTGAGTCCATGCAGGGTTGTAGTTCAGGGTTTAGGGTTTCGGGTTTAGGGTTTAGGGTTTAGGGTTTAGGGTTCAGGGTTTAGGGTTTAGGAACACCTGCTACTGCATGCCGTTCACAGTGCGTGTTGCTTCGGTGAAGCTTGTCTGGGCCTCAGGTTACAACCCCAGCAATGCTTGCACCCGCGCGCCTACGCACCCGAAAACCGTGAAGACCCCCTAAACCCTAAACTCAGCCTAACACCCTGCAGACAGGATTCTTTGGAGCTCAGGGTCTACCCTAAACCCTGAACCCGAAACCCTAAACCCTAAAGCCTATAGGTTAAACTAGGGGGGATCGACAAGGTGTGCACAGCTGCGGGCAACACGCAATGGCCCTGCAGATCCTCGGCACTGACTGGGCCTGCCAGGTTAGGGTTTAGGGTTAGTGTCTAGGGTCGAGGGTCTAGTGTCAAGGGTCTAGGGTCTAGGGTTTAGGGTTTAGGGTTTAGGGGGCCGGCTTCGAAGGGTTAATTCAGGATGTTAGAAGGTTTACAAGGCCATTTTCATACTCAGGGAGATGGCATGTGGCTTTTCATGTTCAGGAGGCAGAACTCACCGAAGGGTAACTCAGCATGAGTCAGTTCAACGTTTCTTCAGCTCACCCCATGGCAAGAATGGCCCCTGCAAGCTCCGATCTTCATCCTTCCACACAAGCCGGTAAGTTACCTGAGATATGAGCCTTCACAATCAGGGTTGGGCTGTAGCCTGAAATGTCTCCAAACCAGGATACTACAATGGTGGCCAATGCACGGTGGACGTCAACCCCAGCGCTGGCAGAGCAGCGGCACAAGACATCAACATCGCGGCCGCTGGGATACTCATAAGATTTCAGGTGTATGTGTGCGGCACGCGACGCCATGGAAAACAAAGAACAACAACAAGCCTACTCCATCGACATGCCCTACCAGCCATTGTAGGGCCGCAATCAAGAGATCCCGAAAGTTGGAAAACCCTAAACCCTAAACCCTAAACCCTAAACCCTAAGCCCTGGGCATGAAACTTAACACGTGGCTATGGCTCAAGCGCGAAGTCCAACGCGGCCTAGCAATCTCCAAGTGAGCATTTTCGGCGAGACCTCAGAGTGTTCAAAGATGGTGCGCAAGGACGCCGTCAAGTGCACCTTGGTGGCCCCCTAAACCCTCTGAACCCTAAACCCGAAACCCTAAACCCCAAACCCTAAACCCTAAACCCCAAACCCTAAACCCTAAACCCCAAACCCTACATATGGTTACTGTGCTACCAAGGCACCGACCGCGCGGATTCCCCGGAGTCCACGCGCGCATCGGACTCCCCCACTGAGGCAACGCCTAAGGATCAGGAGCCCACCAGCTACGATCCCAACCTTTGGTACCTTCGTGCGGGTTTAGGGTTTAGGGTTTAGGGTTTAGGGTTTAGGGTTTAGGGTTTAGGGTTTAGGGTTTAGGGTTTAGGGTTTAGGGTTTAGGGTTTAGGGTTTAGGGTTTAGTAGCTGGAAAGAGTACACAATCGACACTTTTTGGGATGCGAGAATCCCCTACAGAGCTCAAAGTGCACTTTTTTTTTGTTTGGGGGGGGGGGCTTATGACTTATGAACTTCAGCAGCTAAGGTACATTCACGGCAACACCTACGACCTCCATGAGTTCGTGGGCAAGCACCCTGGCGGACAGATGGCCATCTTGACAGGGCGCGGCCGCGACTGCACTGCTCTCTTTGAGTCCTACCACCCATGGAACGACAAGCACCGGAAGGCTATATGGAGGTTTACGAAAATAGGGGTACTCTTTTGGGGAAATATTTTTTGGTTTATATAAAAACCCACGAGGATATACTGAAACTGTGAATTTTTTATTATTAAGGTTCTATAAGGGGAGTATGGAAGGTGCTGAAGGCTTACGGAGCGGCGCCTCCTCCGCCGGATCCCTTCTACGAGGAAATCAAGGAAGGTGTTCGCAAGGCCTTTCCAGGTGGCTGCGGCAGCACCCGACTGCGCCCGCACGCGTTCGTGGGGCTGTCGATCATGTGGTGCATCATGATGTGGCTCTTCTTCATTGTCCGCACGCCTCTATCCTGCTTACTCGCCGGATGCATTGTGGCTACTGTGGGCACTCGATTCTCTCACGAGGGTGGCCACCACCAAATTAGCAAGCATGAGTGGGTCAACCGCCTGTGCCTCTTTGCCGGCTTCTTCTTGGTTGGGCCATCCATGTGCTGGTACTATCAGCATGTCGTCAGCCACCACGTGAGCACGAATCAGGATGGAGACGCCGAGCGAGATGTGGATGTGGAGTACATCTGGATCGCCGACAAGCTGCCTGGATGGATGAAGGCACTGTCCCTGCCTGGAATCTTCATTGGCACTGTGATCGAGCTCGGAGTGAAGCGCATGATCGTGGATCTTCTTATCCGCGGACGCGTCGGCGGGCACAAGGTGGACTACCGCTTGGGCGGAATTCTGGTTGAGATCCCGTTGTGGTGCGTCCTTCACTACACCTTCGGCCCTTCCACGTTCTGCTACTTGTGCATGTACCTCACCGCAGGGGCCATCTTCGTCCCCTGCTCCCAGGTCGCCCATGTCATCCTCTACCCGAACCTGGGTTTAGGGTTTAGGGTTTAGGGTTTAGGGTTTAGGGTTTAGGGTTTAGGGTTTAGGGTTTAGGGTTTAGGGACCTGAGTGGTGCCCTTTTGCCCTTTTTGGGTTCTGGGTTCCTTTATAAAAATGAGCAACCCCAAAGAAGGGTACCCTTATTCCAAGATGGTTACTCGGCTGCCAAGGAACTCCAACGCGTATGACTCTTGGGCCAAGATGCAGATCGCTGAGACTTGGTAGCCCAGTGGTGCCCTTTCGGCCCTTCTTGTTGGTTCAAGGTTCCCTGTATCAAGTAGCCAACACAGAAAGGGGCGCCCTCATTCTAACATGGAGGTTTACGAACATAAGGCAACACTAAAATGGACCCCCCCCCCAAATTGTGGGATTCCCTTATCATAAGGACCCCAAGGAAGGCACCCCTCATTTTCGGAAAACCCCTAGGCCCTAAGCCCTAAACCCTAAAACCCTAAACCCTAAACCCTAAACCCTAAACCCTAAACACTACCAAGGAGAGTGTCGACTTCGCGTCGGAGTCGGACTTCTGGTTCCACGTGGCATTCGGGCTCACCACGCAGATCGAACACCACCTCTTCCCGGGTATCGGCCACCACTGCTCCTCGGACCCGGGGTTAGGGTTTAGGGTTTAGGGTTTAGGGTTTAGGGTTTAGGGTTTAGGGTTTAGGGTTTAGGGGGGGGGGGGGGGGGGGGGGTTGGGGTTCCCTTATGAATCCCCTCAAAAACCCAAAAAGGGTACCCTTTGTATTCCTGGGTTTTTTTCTGGGTCTAGGCTACGACACCATCCGCCTCATCACCCGCGACGTCTGCAAGAAGCATGGCGTGCACCACCAGGACGTCTCTGCATCTACGGCCTTTGGCGCCTTGTGGAAGCGTCTCTCAGTAGCTGAGGTGAGTACGCTTTACACTGTGTTGGGAGACGCGAATGCTCTGTAGAACTGGAAGTGTACACGTTTGTGAGGGCGGCTTATGACCCCAGCAACTAAGGTCTCGTGGCTGCTGCTCCCGCTGCCCTGTTGGCGTGAGGTGGAGGACACATCTCGGAAGGATCCCGAGATTGCTTCGTCCTGCGTGTTTCTCCTGGCACCCCTTTTTCTTAACGCGGTGCAGAACCTCTAATTATGATTTCTCTGCCAAGCCTCAGCAGTTTTAGCATGCTTTGAGGCACGGCACCTGTATCTAGGTAGGCCCTTGGGATGTTTTGTTATCTTTCCCTTATTGGCTTATTGGGCTTAAGAGGCTACTAGATTCTTCCCCTAAACCCTAAACCCGAAACCCTAAACCCTAAACCCTAAACCCTAGTAAGGACTGTTGCCCCTTTCAGAGGCTTTCCAGGGGCAATCCTAGAGAGGCTGCGCCAAGCCGTGCGCTTTTAAGCAGCACAGGCGCCAGAGTCAAAGACTCTGCCCCTTTAGGGCAGCCCAGGTCTCCATGTTGCTGGGGTTTAGGGTTTAGGGTTTAGGATTTAGGGTTTAGGGTTTAGGCTTAGGGTTTAGGGGCAGATCCACAAGTCACGCGAAGTCATTGCCTTGCAGTTTTGCTTTGCGCCTGGGGATGTTCCCCTTTTTACTGGCTTACTAGCAGACCAGCAGTCCTTATGAGGGATTAGGGTTTAGGGGTTATAAGGTTTAGGAATCTGTGCCCCTTTTTTTTGGTATCCCTCCATTCTTGGTCAGCTGTGTGTGGGTGCTGGCAACGCGGAGATCGGCCAGGCTGCTGTAGGCGGAGGGCAGACCCAGGGAGGGCTTCGCCGCAGCAGCCCGTGCGTTAGAGTAACAACCACTTTTGCGGGCCACGTGGGAGTGCCCGGGCTCGCTGCAAAGCATTTTAGGGTGCTAGGGGTGTAGGAGTTTAGGGTTGAGGGTTTAGGGTTTTTAGGGTTTTAGGGTTTTGGGGTTGAGGGCTTTTGGAGAAAGACGGCCAGGGCGAGGATGCTAGCCCAACGTTTGCCGGCAGTCTCCGTGCCTCTGAGTCTCCGCGCCTGGAACGATGCCTCAGCCACACTGTAGCTACTTCTCTTTGTGGTACTTTACTGTAACTTTAAATCCTTACCTTTTTTGGGTTTATTGAGTCTCTTCTTAAGGCAGCTAAAAGTTTAATTTATAGCTACCCTCCTGAGTGCAGCCAAGTTCTGTTCTAGGACTCGTGGATTCTGTTGGGAATTGTGGATGGTAGGCCAGGCACAAATTTTCCTGCCCAGCTTGGGCACCAAGAGGGGGTCCATCCGTTGGAGATCTTCCTCTGGTTTGTTAGTAGCTTCTGATCCGAATGTGCCCTCATTAGAAGGGATGGCTGAGCTAGCTCAGGTCGCATTCTCTGGTGAGGAGATCTCTCCAACCCCTTCTATTCCAACTTTGTTTAAGCTCTGCCTGCTGTCAAGAGCCTCCAGTTTCCTGCAGAGCGCGGGAAGACGTCGCACTTACCAGGCCCTTCACATCCAAGCTATGACCAGGAAGATGCTTTCGTGCGACATGTCGTCCCAACCTATCAGGTCAATTCTCTCATGCACCCTCCTGCCATTTCTCGGGAAGCATGATCCGGCAATTTTCGCCCGCAACGTCGACATGATGCACATGTCACAGCAGCCGCGCGCAAAACAAGCAACTTGCCTTGCCTGCTTCTTGTGTGAGAAGCCTACCTGACGTTGGGATGTTCCCCCTTGTACTACCAGTCCTTAAGAGGGGATTATCGTACCCCCTGCTGTAATCCCTATGAAGGTCTGTTAGTATAAGGGGGAACATCCCACCAACCCTGAACCCTAAACCGCCCAAACCCTAAACCCTATAAACCCTAAACCCTAGCCCTAAACCTTAAACCCTAAATCGCCACTCTTCAGGTCATTAGCCCTTACACCGGCGTGATCGGGGACATGATGACCATGGCCGAGCCACTCCTGGCGCTCGCTGCACAGGACATCTTATGTGCGGTTTTAGGATTTTGGGTTTAGGGTTAGGGTTTAGGGCTTAGGGTCTAGGGTTTAGGGTTTAGGGTTTAGGGCTCCAAAACCCTAAACCCTAGCAGTTGTGAAGTGCATCCTTTGCTCAGTGAATGTAGCCGTCCTCTGAAATTGTTCCTGCAGTGCTGAGGGGTTGCAAAAAAAGCTAAACCTTACCTAAACGCTGGAAAGGTGGCCGAAAAAACCCCTAAACCGTAAACCGTTAAACCCCAATCCCTAGACCTTAAGGCCCTACAAAGCTTCGAAAAAGCAGCAGAGTCGCCCCTGCCACCTGCTCTGACGCATATGTCATGTTCTCCCCCATTCAGAACCCTAGCCCCCATGAACCTCCTAAGCCCCTACAGGGTTTAGGGCTCAGAGTTTAGGCTTAGGGTATAGGCGGTATAGGGTATAGGGTTTTGGGTTTTGGGTTTTGGGTTTTGGGTTTGGGGTTTAGGGTTTAGGGTTTAGGGTTTAGGGTTTAGGGCTTAGGGTTTAGGGTTTAGAGATCCTAAACCCTTTCAGCCCTTGACCTTAGTTCTTGTGGCCCAACCGAAAACGACACAAGAAGTCTCAGCTTTGACTTCAGGAGATCGAGGACAGCAACTACCTCCCCGGAGACCTGGCTTTCTTCTGGCTGGCTCTTAGGGTTTTTTGGATTTTTTGGGTTAGGGTTTAGGGTTTAGGGTTCAGGGTTCAGGGTTCAGGGTTTAGGGTTTAGGGTTTAGGACTCTAACCTTTTGGGTTTTTGTAGACACTACAAGAAGGAGCCTAACAGTTAAACTATTAGGAGGGGTCAGAAGTCAGCCCAGGATACCGCGTCAACCTTCACCTCACCGACTCTGGCTGTGATGAGGCCGGGAGGGGAACGTTCGAGGGTATTTAGGGTTTAGGGACAGGGAAGCCCTACACCCTAAACCCTGAACCCTAAACCCTAAACCCTAAATACACCCTAAACCCTAAACCCTAAACCCTAAACCGCCCTAGGCAAAGGGAACGGAGGCCACCATCGAGGCGTTCACCGTGGGGCCGCGCAAGCATGCGATCCTGGGGGACTCGTGCAGTCAGGCTTGTGCCGCGGTCAGCGATGCCGCGCGCATCTTCAAGGTGCGGTTGGGGTTTAGGGTTTAGGCTTTAGGGTTTTGGGTTTAGGGTTTTGGGTTTAGGGCTTAGGGTTTAGGGTTTTGGGTTTTGGGTCGAAAGTTTAGGTTTAAGGGTTTAGGGTTTAGGGTTTTGGGAAGAAGTGGGGCATGGGGGAGACATATTGTGCGTTGTAGTAGATTGTTGTCTATCTTGTGCATCATGAAGTCTGTGTTCAAGTACTTGTTGTCATTGTGTTTTTGGGCGTCTTGATTTGTTAATGAATGACATTGTCTTGTCAGGGCTGGGGGTAGAGATCTTTCATGAACACAAAGCGAGTTAAGCCCCCTCTGAGTCATCACGCCATATCCAGCCTTTCCTTTCAAAAAGGGAAGAGTGGAGACATCAAAACCTCTGGTATCTTAGGGCTTATCGCTAGCAGCTATGACGAATGACCGTGCAAGTGTGTGAAATTCCATCTCTTCGGGGGTTCAATCGAAGTGCTCAGATAGAAAGCCCCCACCCCCCCTCACAAACATCCCTACCAGGTTCTCATGGTCTCGCCCGGATGTGATTCACCAAGCCTCAGCGACCGGGCGCGCTACCCGTATCCAGGATGTCCCAGAGATTGTTAGATTGGTAGGTCACTCCATACCTGCGAGGTTTCCAGGGGTAAGTAACTTAGCAAGTTCATTCTGGGAATGTACTTCAGAATTTGCAAGAACCGCAGCCTAAACCCCAAACCCTAATCCCTAAACCCTGGATGCCCTTCGGGGATCATCCTATAAAATTGGAACGATACAGAGAAGATTAGCCTGGCCCCTGCGCAAGGATGACACACACAAATCGAGAAGGGTAGCAAAAACATCCCAAACCCTACTTTTTGGATCCCTAAACCCTAAATCCTAAACCCTAAACCCTAAACCCTAATTCTGGTTAGGAATGTACTTCAGGGCTTGCAAGCACGGCAAGGTACTTCACTCGGATGACTCCCTCCGACCGCTTCAAGGTCACGGCCATCTATGAGGTGGGCAGCTATCAACTGGGGTTTAGGGTTTAGGGTTTAGGGTTTAGGGTTTAGGGCCTAAGGGTAACACCACCCTTTTGTTGAGTGCCTTGAAACCTGAGACTTGATCCAGGTGTTCAAGATGTTCTCTTGGAAGCGCGTGGGCGTCATGGACGGGCCTTTCTATACCGCCGGTGCGAAGGCCCTAAACCCTAAACCCTCAACCCTTAGCCCTAAACCCTAAAGTTGGGATGTTCCTTATTATGCCAACAGTTTTTTGATAGGGATTGCAGCACCCCCGATTGCTTTTTGTATTAAGGGCTGTTAGTATATCCCAACCCTAGACCCTAAACCTAGAATGGACCCTTAGTCTTATCCCCCTCTATAACCCATGTAACCGCTACATGAATCTATCTAAGGTCCCTTACAAGGGTCCCTCCTTAACCCTAAACCCTAAACCCTAAACCCCCTCACTTTAGTCCCTCTAAGAGGCATTCTTCCTCGAGCTCATCCAACGGGACTTGGATGCAGGAGCCTACGATTGGACGGTCTTGCTCGACCGACCCTTGTCACGGTGGGCTAGCATTTTACATTTGGGTTGAGGGTTTAGGGTTTAGGGTTTAGGGGTACTTAAACTCAATAAGGAATAGAAATTTAGGTTTTCGTGCTATCCCAACCATGAACAAGGAACGGTCAACACCCTTGCGGACGCTCAAAGTGCAGCGGATGAGGTTAAGCTACCTGGTAGCCCAGTTGGTACCCTTTTCCTTTTTGTTTGCTTCAAGGTTCGTTTACAGGGTGGGGCCCCCTTACTATACGAACTGCAGAGAGGGACTTATAACCTAACTTAGGGTCCTTATAACCCAATTTAGGGCCCTTATAACTCTACCCTGTAGGAGTAACCGACCCCAAAAAAGGGTGCCCTGATCAGAGTATGGTTACTGGGCTACCAAGGCTACGTGACTCACGAATTAACATGATGGTCCTCCCAGAGTACATCGGCATGTGGGTCCTGTGCCAGTTCTATTTGCGCGACATGCTCCCACCGGACCGCCGTAGGAAGATCTCACATGGGGTTTTCTGAGAGTAGGGCAATTCACATGCTCAGGACTTTGCTACTATATTGGCATGCTAGGGGGAGCACGATTTACCCCAAACCCTAACATCCCTAAACCCTGTCCCTCTTCAGTTGCCCCGTGGAGCATGGCTAGACAGGTGGCAAACAAAACCCTAAACCCTAAACCCTGTCTCGATCTCTTGGGGTTTAGGTGGCTTCCCCGGGCTCGTCAGGACTACGTGTGGTTCATCGCGGCATTTGGCAACTGGGTCAACAATCTCACGACCATCATGGCTGGAACACCGGCCCCCCGGATAAGACTGGACTGTCGGGTTTAGCTTTAGGGTTTAGGGTTTAGGGTTAGGGTTTTAGGGTTCGTTATATTTTGCCTCGACCTAGACCACTTTAGTGGAGACATTTCCGAATGTTTGCCTTAGTTTAGGGTTTAGGGTTAGGATTTTGGATTCAGGGTTCAGCGCTTAGGGTTTAGGCTGTAGGCCTGAAGCGTAGACCTCGAAACCCTAGTCAGCTCCTCAACCCTGAGCCCTAAAACCTATAAACCTAGGCCCTATACCCCAAACCCTGAACCCAAGACAACTTGAACCTTATGCTTATAACCTTCGGCACGAGCTAAACCCTAAGCCGTGAACCCTGAGCCCTAAGCCCGAAACCCGAAACCCTCAACCCTAAACTGAAGTCACATGCAGACTCCAAGGAATGCCCCTGCACGGCTGAACAGCTGGCCAGGGTCTCCGGAGGCGTCCTCACCTACACTCTATAAATTTGGGTTTAGGGTTTAGGGTTTAGGGTTTATCAAAAAGGGTTTAGGGATTAGGGTTCAGGGTTCAGGGTTCAGGGTTTAGGGTTTAGGGTTTGGGGTTCCCAACACCCCCAAAAAACCCGAAACCCGCTCTGGAGGTTTGATGATCAGCGGTCGATCGCCGATCCAGAGCACGAACGAGATCCACGGGCTGTCTGGCACTAGGCCAGGTGGGCATTCCCCAATGTAAGCCCTAAACCCAAAGTAGGGCGTACCCCTGATTGTCCCTCCCCCCCCCCCACCCGCTCTGTCCCAAAAAAGAGAATAAATCCTATAAATCCTTAACCGGAAAGGGATTCCCACCACTTTTTCGGAAACCACCAGGTTGGCTGATATCTCCAACTACTACAACACTCAGTGCCAGGCATTTGCCAATGGACGTGGCGCTTGTGATTCTTGGTTCCGAGTAGGGAATGAGGGTACCCTTATGGGTACCTTATATCCCCTTACATTACCCTTTTAGGGATTGGCACAGGGTACCGAATTCCCACATGTTTTATTTAAATAAAGAGTCGACAAGGATTATGTGTGGACCGGCTACTTTTACGATGGGCTTTGGCACTTGACCTCCCTCCTGCATACCTACTTGATCGACCAGAACCATTCACTCTCCGAGCTCGGAACAGCAGCTTCCCGGACGGCCTTGTATGAGACTTGGTAGCCCAGAGGTCCCGTTTTGGCCTTGTTTTTTTGTTCAAGGCTCCCTGCTATGGTAGCCAAAATCCAAAAGAGGGGATTACTAGGTATAAGGTGGATACTGCGCTACTAAGGAGATGTCCTTGGGGAAAGACTACTTGGGCTTGACAGGGCGTGTCCGGCAGTTCAACAGTATCGAGCCGACCACCATCCCGCCTTCCTTTGGCGATCGTGATGGGGTGCAGCTCATCCGCCACTCGAGCCATCATGGGAGATGTTCGTTTAGGGCTTTAGGGTTTTGGGGTTTTAGGGTTTTAGGGCTTTAGGGGTTTAGGGTTTAGGGTTTGGGGTTTGGGGTTTAGGGTTTAGGGTTTATAGGGTTTAGGGTTTAGGGTTTCCAGGTTTCGGCACAGGCCAAAACATAGACACAGGGGCTGCCTTGGGGTGCGGAGTGGGTGCAGGCCTGCATCGGAAGCCTGTAAAAGGGTTTAGGGTTTAGGGTTTAGGGTTTAGCCAGTTTCAAGCAGCCACGGGGTAGGGGGAGGGGGGGGGGAGGGGCGGAGGAATGCCTTGGAGCGCTTCGGGTGCAAGAGGATCATATTCGCCCTGAACCCGAAACCCTCACATTTCGGATAGGGTTGAGGGTTTAGGGTTTAGGGTTTCGGGTTTAGGGTTTAGGGTTTAGGGTTTAGGGTTTACGAGCCATCCTAGGCCAGATCACTGGCGGACCCGGCAATGAGTTCACCGACCTGGCGCAGCGGTCCAGCGCTGGCATCCTGTGGCTCGCGGACTCCTTGGATGTTCTCTTAGCAGTCGGTTTAGGGTTTAGGGTTTAGGGTTTATTCTTGCCACTTGCCACGAGTGCTGGGTGTTGTGGGACATGAGCCATTTGGCCTTACTGCAAACTGCTGCCTTCCCAAAACTAAGATGCGCAGGCCCATGTTATGGTCTCTGGGGCCCAATACCCTGAGCCTTAAGCCCTAAACCCTAAACCCTAAACCCCCAAACCCATACTAAGGGACCATGTAACTATCCTTAGAAACTAAGATGCTGAGGATGTGGTTTGGAGCCCCTACGACAGCAAGTCCGTTCCTTGTAGTGACGGCACTTGTGCTTTGGGAGCTGCATGGGTGCCGTCGGACCGGATTGCCCAGTGTCCCGAAGGACGGATTGTGCTCGCCGTGGCGTACATGTGTGTGTGTGTGTGTGTCTGTTTCTTCAACCCTAAACCCTCTTCTCGCCTTATCGCCAAAAGTGGGCATTAAAGCCAAGCAAAAGGCAGAATCGCAAACAGGCAAATCCAATGTGTCCTCAGAATTGCACAACATCTTCTTAAACTCCAGCATGTCCGCCGAACTAGATGTAGGTACATGTATAGACGCACAGTCATAGACAATTCCACAACGCCAAACAAATCTTCGTCATTCGCTTCATAGCCGACAATCAACTCCAGGGTGATGTCCATCAGTTTCTTGAGAGGCTCGAATTCCATACAGCTTCAGTCTTCATTGAATAGACTCCCCTCCACGCCTCGGAATGCTGAGTGAGGCTTGGTGCCTCGCTCAACGATAGAATCCAAAGTTGATCGTGTCGTTCTAAATGTTCACCAGAGAGTGTCCGGAATCAGTTTCCTCCTGGGGTTAGGGCTGCCAGTGAATAACCGAAAGCCATGCGGTTTGTGTGTGTGTGTGCGTATAACCCTAAACCCAAAACCCTAAACCCTTATATGCATACATGTATATATATATATATATATAACCCCCTCTGAAGAGTCGATTGCCGTGCTTCCTTCTTCAATGCGTTCGTACAACCATGAAAAAAGTAAACCCGGGTCTCCTTGCATGTTGCGGCTGTGAACATCTGGGTTTAGGGTTTAGGGTTTAGGGTTTAGGGTTTACGGTTTAGGGTTTAGGGTTTAGGGCTAGCCGAAGCAAACTTTACGCAGAAGTTAGGCTGATCATGCCTACTCTGCGACCCAAGAATAACAGATATTTGCCATCATCGGAAGAACCGTTGTCAATGCCGTTTGCGAATCGTTTAGGGTTTAGCGTTTAGGGTTTAGGGTTTAGGGTTTAGGGTTTAGGGTCAAACACATATAATGCTGAGGCTGAAGCCACAGGAGTTGCACAATCGTTTATTCACATCTTTCACTGGTGTCCGTAGCAGTGGCTAAGATTTTGTCGAAGATGCCTCTCGATGCGTATACCCGTCTGTGCCTCCATGTACCTACTGCCCGTACCTGTGTGCGTGTTGATTCTGGATGATTGGTATGGGACTTGGCCAAGGTTAAGGCTAACATTGGTACGTGGGCTTTTGTGTCATATCTAGATCTCCGGCAGGGACCGTCTTCTCTGTGCAGCTTGGCTGCATTGCCTGTGAGAAGGGCAAGTATGCAGAAGCTGGGATGCTCGAATGCCAGCCATGCAACGTCGGCACCTTCACCAACGTGTCGGGCCTGGCAGCTTGCTATCCTTGTGCCCCGGGGACCTACAACAACGTGCTTGGAGCAGACGGCTGTGAGCAGTGCAGCCAGGGGTTTTTCGCGAACGAGACGGAGTCAACGTCCTGCACGAAATGCCCGATCGGCCGCTACGCATCCCAAAAGGGCCTTGGCGTGTGTGAGGCATGTCCTTCGGGGCGCACGACCGCAGTCTCAGGCGCCATTGACATCGAGGCATGCCAATGCCAGGGTGAGTTGTTCCAGGGTCAATGCATCGTTTCTTGGTAGCCCAGTGGTTCCCTTTTCCCTCTTTGTTTACTTCTGGTTCCCTTATAAAGTAACCAATCAAAAAAAGGGGTGCCCTTATTATAAGATGTTTACTGGGCTACTCTAAGGTTTGCTCTGGCAACACGCGGTATGAGGCCGGCTCATGCCTACCATGCTCTGCAGCTTGGCAGCCCAGTGGTACCATTTTGTCCCTTTTTTTTGGGGAGGTTTATGGGTTCCCTTGTAAAATAAGCTAGCCAAAAAAGGGTGCCCCTATTGTTCCCTTGTAAAATAAGCTGGCCTAAAAAAAGGGGTGCCCTTATTTTTAATATGGTTGCTGGGCTACAAAGGCAGGCTTGACTTGTGACGGAGGGCGGACGGCGGTGGTGCAGCCCGGCTACTTCACACCTCCGAGTGCCCCCTTCGATGTCTACAAGTGCCTTCCCGTGGAGTTCTGCCCCGGGGGCTTGCCAGGCACGTGCTTTGGAGGACGAGTCTCCATCAGTGTTAGGGATCCTTTTTCCTTTTTGGGTTATGGGCTTTCTTATATATGAACAAGAAGGATCCTTTTTTTCTTCCTAGGGGAACAGGGAGTAAGGAGTGGGTGTGCCTTGCACGCAATGCCCAGATGGCCAGGCATGGGACTCAAATGCCTGTGGGGAATGCACGTCCATGAGCATTCTCGGTTGGGTGGCAGGGGGCCTGATGGGTGTCATTGCGGTTCCAACGCTTTACTATATGATGAACATGAAGCAGACGGCCAAAGCCACTACCATGTTGGCTACGTCCTGTGCGCTTGCAATGACCATCAGCATGCTTCAGAACGTCGGCATCGTCGGCTACATCTCCTTCTCATGGCCCTCGCAGCTGCAGTGGATGTTTGATTTGATGAGCGTTTTCACCTTGGACTTGCAGGCGGTGGGTTTCGACTGCGTTTCCAGCTCACCCGTGGCAGGCTACCACATGACGGCCGTGATGCTGCCTTGCGCTTCTAGGCAGGTCCCTGGGATACTTCTCATGTTTCTTCCTGATTGGGTCTAAGAGGATCATATTGACCCTAAACCCTAAACCCTAAACCCTAAACCCTAAACCCTAAACCCTAAACCCTAAACCCTAAACCCTAAAGGGCCCATTTTTCAGAGGCTTTTAAAGCGCACCTCCAAGGCCTTGGTGTGGCTGATCATCTGCAGCTTCCTCAGCAAGCTCTTCCCGGCAAGGTGGCACTTCGACAATGCGAAGCTGGTGAGCACCCTTGGCCAGTTCATGCAGGCTCGTTGAGGGTTTAGGGTTTAGGGTTTAGGGTTTAGGGTTTAGGGCTTAGGGCTTAGGGTTTAGGGTTTAGGGTTCATAGCGTTTCTATTCCTATGCCATCCCATGCCTGCACCTCACCTCAGGACACATTGCTCTAATTGTCTGCTACTCAAAACTGCCAGCGAGTGTTTCGAGTCAGTGTGAAAATGTTCGGTACTTGTCAAAGTTCCGGAACAGCGGCCCAGTTGTTTGTCTTGCTGTCTTGTCAAATGCATGAGCTGGCCCAGAGGCAGAATATTCAGTGATGTGCTGTTGCGCTTCTGGTTGTTTCGGGGGCTGCCCCTGTACTGACTGGGGCAGGACGACAGCTGTTGCCGCCTGCCTCATCTGCCCTCAAAGGAATAACCCTAAACCCTAAACCCTAAACCCCAAACTATAAACCCTAAACCCTAGCCCTAAACCCTAAACCCTGAATCATCCAGCCTGGGGTTGCTGTCGTGGTGCAGGTCTGCTTCACCATCTACAGCAAGATTGCGCTGTCCCCGGTTATGTGTCTGGGATGCTTTGGTCCAAGGGGCTGGTTTCAGAATCTGCTTAGGGTTTAGGGTTTAGGGTTTAGGGTTTAGGGTTATGGAGCTTAGTAGTGCGCCTACACCTGTTGGCGAACATGAACAGGCTTGTCCAGGCGAGAACCCACAAGCCTGCGGCAAAAGGGTTTAGGGCTTAGGGTTTTAGCCCTAAACCCTAAACCCTAAACCCTAGGGTTCGAGGACCGGACTCTCACAGCTGAGGTGCTACTCACATCCGAATGGCAAAAGCGGGATGCTGGAGCGGGGGTTGCAAAAGTGCAGCATGCTGCCAGAAACTGACTGTCTGTTAGCAGGGAATGAGGGAATGAGGGAATTAGGGTTTAGGGTTTAGGGTTTAGGGTTTAGGGCTCTATATGCCCTTTAAGGGGTTTTATAGGGTACCTCATTCCCCCATTCCCTGCTAACCAACAGTACGGAAAGAAGCTAGCAGCTGAATGAGCCTTTAATACTGTCCCCTCATACATAGTCCCTCTATAGCTGCCAGCGAGCCGAAGACCTACATATGGAATTAAGCAAAACATGAAGCTACCCAAAAACCAAGGCTTGTCTCCCTAAATTCCCTCTAGAACCATGAGATCGACTACCCAAGTACGCGTTCTGTTTGAAAAGGCTCCCGCATCAACCCCGACTGCATAGGCCAGCTGGCGAAGCATATAAGCCTCTTTGATGATGTGGGGACGGTTCGGGCTCAGGATTTTACAGTTTACGCACCTTTCTCCTGATAACTACGTACGGTCCTTGTTCCTGAGCAGTCTAATTGCTCTGTAGCTAGCCGGGCCCACATCCCAGTCCGGATGCAAAAGGGGTTAGAGTTTAGGGTGCATGCCTCAGAAACATTGTGTTTGGAGATGCTTGGGGTGCACATGGTGCCAATTGTTGTCTTCCAGCAGCTCAAGAGATCTCGAGAGAAGCCATGTCGTAAGGATGAGTCAGGAACACTGGGTTTAGGGTTCGGCGCTTGCTTCGACCAGGGTTTAGGGTTTAGGGTTTAGGGTTTAGGGTTTAGGGTTTAGGGTTTAGGGTTTAGGGTGACGTGTGTGTGGTTTCTTGAGGAGCACAACGGCATTTTCTGCTTCGAGAGCGCCGAGCACACGCCCATGCCGCCTGGTTGGGAAGGGCCCCCGAGAATTTCAACCCTAACCCTAAACCCTAAACCCCAAACCCTAAACCCCCCGCCCTAAAGCAGAGGAACGGACTGAGATTGGATTCAGGAGCTCATCTGGGCGCCGCAGGTACACCTTCGGGAGGGCCACAAGCCCGCAACTGAAAAAAAGAACCCAAACCCCAAAATCCTAAAAACCCTTAAGCCCTATACCCTAAGACCCTGAACCCTAAATCTAAACCCCAAACCCAAAACCCAACCCCCAACATGGGGCTTGCTTGCCATGGAAAATGTCGTACTTGAGCGAGCCGCCAGGGCTCATGAATCTATGGGAGGACTCGACAAAAAGGCCCCCTTCTCGCCCTAAACCCTAAACCCTGAACCCTATAAACCCTGAACCCTCAACCTCGAGGCTTGCAAAGCTGACGGATTTGGGGTCTAGGGTCTAGGCGGTGTGAGCAGACTACCCCCCCTCCCCCCCCCCCCAAAAAAAAAAAAAAAAACAAGTCGAAGCTGAAGCAAAAAAGATCAGGTTCATCGCTGGCATGCTTGTCCTTTGCGGCATGATCAGCTTCTATGCCCTGGCCATTTTCGCCACAGTCGCCTGGTTTCTTTGTGTGAGCTGAGGTTTAGGGTTTAGGGTCATTTGCTTTTGGGTAGAATCCTCTTCTGCGCCCCTCATGCCTTTCATAATGCTGGCGGGCTGAATGTTTCAACACAGTGGTTGGCATCAGGATCGCTCAGAAAGAAAATCCTAAAACCTAAGCCCTAAACCCGAAACCCTAAACCCTAAACTCTAAACCCCAACCCTAAACCCTGAACCCTAAACCCTAAACCCTAAACCCTAAACCCCAAACCCTAAACCCTAAACCCTATAAACCCTAAACCTGTCATGTGCAGAGCTATCCATGCAAGAACCCAAGGGAGAAGGCCCCACAGAAAGTTGATCCCGCACCTTATGACAAGAATGGAGATCAGCAGTCTCGAAAGCGTGCTTCAGAACTGCCCCTAAACCCAAAACCCTAAACCCCAAACCCTAAATCCTAAACCCTAAACCCCAAACCATTTCTGCGCACGCGCCCCGCGAAAGGTCATCGCACCGAAACGGGCCTCCGCGGGCGATGCATGGTGCTCCAGATGATGCGAAGTAGACATAAACCCTTAGAAACTGTTTAGGGTTTAGGGTTTAGGGTTTAGGGTTAACCCTGAGACTTATAGGGTTTCGGGTCAACCCTGGTTTCCCAAGTCTGCGAGAGATAGAGAGGGTTAGCCCTGCGTCTTGTCTCATTCAGGTTTTCGGCTTGTTTGGGCTGTTTAGGTTGAGTGGCCTTCGGGCTTGCATGGCCTGAACCGCAGCATGAGCGCACGTTGTGGCAGTGGGCTCCTACACAGAACGCTAGCCTGAAAGTAAGCCGGAAATGCAGCACTGACCTTTTGGGATTATGCAACTTCGCACAGGAATGAGGATGCGTGATTCGAGCGACACGACGGCGATCTATGATGCATGCACGTATGCGTGTATACATACATGTGTACATACATTGCTCAATTTGTGCCTACATGTAGACATATTCGACCGCATATAACCAACCTATGTTCATGTGCACGCATATCGTATGTCTATGCATGCCGCTGCTCGTAGCCTTAAAACTTGAAGCCCCTGCATAACCCCGCCCCCCCACCCAGCCCAACAACCCTAATACCCGGAATCCTATAACCGCCTTTGAACCGATTGGTTCCTTGACTTTAGGGGTTTTGGGTTTAGCGTTTGGACAGTCGCAAACCATGGGTTGAGGATGGCCCCTTACATGCAGCAATGCCGAGCGGGAACCCGTTCGGGCCGTGTCTCAGCAAGTTTAAACCCTAAACCCAAAACCCTAAACCCTAAACCCTAAACTTCCATCCAGGTTCCTTGCCGCGACTCGCTTTCTGCTCTTCCGCTTCCGGAGTGACAACTGGCCGCCTTGACCTTGAAAGAGCTTAGGGTTTAGGGTTTAGGGTTTAGGGCTTAGGGTTTAGGGTTTAGGGTTTAGGGTTTGCGCGGTTCGGGTTTGGAGTACTGCAAGCGAGAGCTTCAGGTGGAAGTGCCGCAGGACGGTGATCATGCTTAGAGTTTAGAGGCTTCAGGGTTTAGGGTTTAGGCAAGGGTTTATGAATAGGGTTTGGGGTTTAGGTGGCATCTGAGTGTCTAGTGGACAAAGCTATGATGCACCAAGGTGGTATGGAACCTTCATGTGCCTTGGCTGCTGCCCAGCCGCTCTTTCCTTTACCAGAGAAGCCAAGACTATGAAACCTCGGGGGGCCCTGCAGCTCAGGATAGCAAGAGTTGCTCTCATTCAATTCCTCAGATGCTGTTGCGAAACAGGATGCCTCGCGGCTTGCTGCTGTCGCTTGCCATTGTGGCCGCGGGCGACAGCCCCTACGTGCAGATGCTGATCATCGTGACCGTCATGCTGATTTACATGGTGGTGCAGCTCCTTGCCTGGTAGCCCTAAACCCTAAACCCTAAACCCTAAACCCTAAACCCTAAACCCTAAACCCTAAACCCAAATCCCTGAGCATTACCTGGCATCGGTTAGACATGTGCTGCATGGGGGTGGGGAACCCCTGCAGCCTTGAAGCCGAAGGCCGTGCACCCCAACTCTGAAGCTACAAAGCATGGTCAAGCCCTCAACACTGGAAGTCCCGAATGCTTAAAGCCCTGCAACCCTGAACCCCGGCAGCCTTAAAGTCCTTTCCTGCTCCTTCATGATTCAAGATACTAAGCCCTAAGCCCTAAGCTCTAAGCCCTAAGCCCTAAGCCCTAAAAGCCCCAAACTCTAAACCCTAGCCCTAAACCCTAAACGCTACACCCTAAACCCCCCAAGCCCCAAAGGCTGACGACCTGGCCGTGGAAGCTGCCAGCCCTCAACGCCTTTGATGCGACCATCAGCTCGGGCCCCCGGAGAGTTTAGGAAGTTCGGTGTAAACCCTAAACCCCAAACCCAAAACCCCAAATTTGCCCTAAAGCCCAGGCTTCTGGGCTTTCGGGTGTGCACCCAACATGCCTGATGCAAAAAAAAGGGGGGGGGGGGTGTTGGGTTTGGGGCTTTCAAGGATTTGTGGAGGGCTTTAGAGTATAGGGTTAGGGACCCCCTTAACCCTCACCTGAGCCTACGCGCTGCGACGCCACCCCTGCTTCATCTACATTGGGGGTTTCCCAAAATAGGGGGTACCCTTTGTGGGATGTCCCTTTAAGGGGATTCTATTCTTTTTGGTGTTAAAAAAGGTGATACCCCCCATTTTTTGAAATATCCATGTAGCCTTTCAAGCCAAACTGTTGCAGGCGCACAGTGCAAGAAAAGCAGAACAAACCCCTCTACACCCCCCTAAGCCTCCTCAACCCCCCCTCAAACCCCATTCAGCTCTCAGACCCCTTTAACACCCCTCTAAACTCCCCCAGAGCCCCTCTTAAACCCCCCAAACCCCCCAAACCGCCCCAACCCTAAACCCTAAACCCCCCCAACCCTAAACCCCAAACCCTAAACCCTAAACCCCAAACCCCACACCCCTAAACCCTAAACCCTAAACCCTAAACCCTAAACCCTAAACCCTACAGAACTCCACAAGGGGCAGAACAACCCCCTAAGCCTTCAGCTCTCAGGTTTCTGCCTCATCCTGATGATGGCCATCCTGGGAGCCTTCGCACCCGACCTGGGCAAGGCGGGCCGGAGGGAAAGGGTTTAGGGTTTAGGGTTTAGGGTTTAGGGTTTAGGGTTTAGGGTTTAGGGTTTGGGGTTTGGGGTTTGGGGTTTAGGCTTTAGGCTTTAGGGTTAAGGTTTTAGGTTTTAGGCTTGAGGGTTTCGGCTGGCTGCAGAGACCTGGTTGCAAAAGGGTTTAGGCTGTAGGCTTTAGGGTTTAGGGTTCAGGGTTTAGGGTGCCTGTAGTTCCTGCTAGCCCAGTGCTGTCGGTCTACTTTTTTGGGGGGTTCAGGGTGCCCTTGTAAAGTAACCAGCCGGAAACAGGGTGCCCGTATCATAATATGGTCACTGGGCTACCAATTCAGTCTACCGGGTTTGGAGTACTTTAACAATGTTGTTTTTGGTTTCGGGGCTCCTATTATACCTACTTCTACCTAAAACGTCTATACTTTTTCCAGGGTCGACTCCTAGACCCTCATCCTAACCCTAAACCCTAAACCCAAGGGGGTTCCAAGCGGATGTCCGCACAAAAAAATCCGACGAAGCCATCTTCAAAGCACCCCCGACTCCTGAGATCCCGGTTACTCGTCTTGCATAGAAGAAGCCCTAAACCCCAAACCCCAAACCCCAAACCCTAAACCCTAAACCCTAAACCCTAAAAACCCCTGAGCCCTAAACCCTAAGCCCTAAACCTTTATGGTTAAGGGTCCTGCACCCCAAGGGCCTGCCACCTTGAATCAGCCAGTGCCGCTAGGTTCAACCTCAAGCTTTCTCGTTAACAGGCAACTCTGTTGTTTCGAGAATTAGGGTTTAGGGTTCAGGGTTTATGTAGGGTTTAGGCTTTAGGGTTTAGTTTTTTTGGGTTGAGGGTATCTCACTAACGTCACTAACTGTACATCTAACCCGGCTGGCAGTTTTAGAGACCTGGATGTCAAAAGGCTTTAGGGTGTAGGCTTAGGGCATCCCGTTAAATTCGGTGACTTTTTTTTGGGGGGGGATCTGTTCGACTCGTTGAATTCGGTTTAGGGCTTAGAGTTTATAGGGTTTAGGTTTTAGGGGGCAGGACACCATGCAACAGCTCACGAGCTGCGTGATTGGCATCATTCTCTTCCTGAATGGTGCGGCTTGCCTCCGTCCAAGAAGATATGTTCTAGGGCAGGGAATAACCACTAATAGTATTCCCTTCTGGTCCCTTTGTAACTACACTATACCCCCCCCCCCCCCAAACCCTCTTCTAATGACGAAGACCCCTATCTTCGACGCCTAACCCCTACGAGCCCTTAGTCGTTACGTTGTGGGAAGCCTGAACCAGAAACCTTAATCTCGGGAATTGTGGGCCCATTATACTGGCACACGAAACTGCTAGTGCTCTACCATCAACATAATGCCCCAAATCGTCGAACAAGCCCTGTGTATTCCCTTCGGCTAAGCATCTACGATGCGGGTACATGGCCAGGACAGTTTTGCACTTAAAGGAACTTCTGGGAGGGTGCTGGTTCCCGAAGGCCGAAGCCCAAATTGTTGATTTGGTTTCTGAGCCTGCTTTGATGGAGTGCTGTAGTCTTCCGCTGTAGATGAGGGCGACACGTCGTTGAAATGAGTGGCAAAGGTGGAGAGTGTGTGTGACTTTAGGCCAGCAAAGTGAGACATGGCCCATGGGACATTCGGGGAGAGGTTCAGGAGGATTCGGAAACATGCGTAACAATGTGCAGATGCTGCGCAAGCCTCGAAAAGTTTCTTTCAAACCCTAAACCCTGAACCCTGAACCCTGAACCCTGAACCCTGAACCCTGAACCCTCAACCCTCAACCCTCAACCCTCAACCCTCAACCCTCAACCCTCAACCCTCAACCCTAACCCCTCAACTCTAAACCCTAAACTAAGCTAGAGGTGGTCTTCCTCATGCTTTGCGTGACGCTGTCTGCGCTGATTCGCTTCTTGTCGTGGGGAGCGCAACCTAAACCCGAAGCCCTAAACCCCGGTTTAGGGTGTAGGGTTTAGGGTTTAGGGTTTAGGTCCCTGTGAATCCCTAAGCCGCAAAGGGGTCGTACGGCTCCAGGGGCGTGCGGGTCAGGGTCGACAAGGCGTCGGCTGCGTAACGTTGGAATGGTTGTTGTGTCCTTTGCCCCCCCCTCACAGCCATGAGACAATGCCGTAGGCGCTAAAACGAGCCCCGCAAACGGTGAGACGCACACTGAAATGACATGATGTTATGTTGATAGATTGTGTTGTAGCATCTTATGTCGCAACTGTTGCAGTGATTATCGAAGAATAACCCTATTCTACTTATTGAGGCCCCTTTCTTATGCTTCAGCAATCGGGCGATGAGCACTTGCCCTTTGGGAAATGCCCCCTGCGGTTGGAAGATTCACTAAGAACCATGGCAAAGGCCCGTGGCTTCTGTGGCAGACGGCATGAAATGCCCTGGGACCCGGAGTAGGCCCTGATTCCCTGTTTTTGGGGTTTAGGGTCCCTTATAGTCCCCTTTAAAACCTAGGCTACTCTTGGGTCTAGATTCGCAACAGTCTTGCATTCGGATTCGGAGACTCGCCTGCGTCGAGGTTTGAGATTTCTTCCGGACCTGAGCCCAAACCCAAAAGCCTAAAAACTAAAACCTACACCGAATGAATTGTTTTCCCATGGCCATAGAAACCGCCCAAGACAGATGGGTATTCTTGCGCTTCTTGTGTGCCACCTCCTGCTTCAGGGTTTGGGGTTTGGGGTTTAGGGTTTAGGGATTAGGGTTGGCTGAGGATTGAATGTCATGGGCGGAGCTCAAGAGAGCGTGCTTCTGGCGCTGGGATGCTGAGACAGAAGTTAGCCTCCTAGAGGTTTGGTTAGGTTCAGGGTTTGCGGTCAGGGTTCAGGGTTTGGGGTTTGGGGTGAGTGGTTCATGGGACTGTTAACGTTCAAGCTGAGATTTGGCCATGCTGTAGGAACCATGCACCGCATGTGGGGCTGCCGGGTTGCGTCTGCCAGCAGCATAAACTCCGTCTTGCTGAAATGTGTTGTCGAACTGCGGGTGAATTCCCTAAACCCTAAACCCTAACCCTATAAACCCTAAGCCCAAAACCCTATAAACCCTTGAGAAGAGTAGCCTGGGATTCGGGAAGTTACGTGCCTTATCGTTTTGTGCAGTGGCGTGGTGCAGGCAGAAATGGTCGCAGTCCACACCATGAAACCTAAACCCCGAAACCCTCAAACCCTAAACCCTATAAACCCTATAAACCCTATAAACCCTATAAACCCTATAAACCCTATAAACCCTATAAACCCTATAAACCCTATAAACCCTATAAACCCTATAAACCCTATAAACCCTAAACCCTATGAGGAAGCTTAGTGTTCAGGGCTAAATTGTCATTTGATAAGGGCCCCCAAACCCTAAACCCTTAACCTTGAACCCCAAACCCCAAACCCTGAACCCTGAACCCTTCAACACCCGAAATCCGAAACGCGGCCGCAACCGTCTCAAGCTCACACTCCCAAAGCCCCAAACCCTAAACCTGAAACCCTGGGGTTTGCGGTTTAGGGTTTGGGGTTCAGGGTTTCGTGATTTTTAGGGTTTACGGTTGAGGCCCTCAAGCCTGAACCAGCCTAGGCCCTCAACCCAACGCGGAACCCCTAAGAACCCGAAGCTTGATACCTAAACCCTAAACCCTACTCCCTGGGCCCTGGGCCCTAAACCCTAAACTGCAATGTGACCTGACCCAGAGGTAGTACTATTATGGAATTAGGTACCCCCAGAAACCGTATTTAGTATGGTTTTTGGCGTACCTAATTCCATAACAGTACTACAAATGGACCCTTTGGGTGGGTGAGCTCAGCTAGGCGGGCAATGACCTAAACGCTTACTGCAGCCCGCCCAAAGCCGTCAGCCCTGTTAGCTGAGAGGTCTAAACCCAACTGCCCCAGAACCCCAAACCCCAACACAGCGCGGGTGGCACAAAGAATGACGAACCCTAAAAATCCCCCAAAACCAGCAAACAACAAAAGCCTTATAAGCCTTGACCACCCTTTTCCCCCCCGAAGCCCCACAAGCTTAAACCCCAAGCTTCAACTCGGTGTCAAACCTAATAACCCTAAACCCTGAACCTTAAGGTTTAGGGTTTAGGGTTTAGGGTTTAGGGTTTAGGGTTTAGGGTTTAGGGCAAAAGATAGCTTCATAGCTCCACACCACAGAGCTTCGAGCTACAGGAGCGATTCCACAGCCGAAGCTTCTCAGCGAGAAGCTCATTCTTCTTTCGAGGCGAATCCAGGCCATGGCTAGGGTTTAGGGTTTAGGGTTTAGGGTTTAGGGTTTAGGGTTTAGGGTTTAGGGTTTAGGGTTTAGGGTTTAGGGTTTAGGGTTTAGGGTTTAGGGTTTAGGGTTTACCGGCAGGACACCCCAGGAGACCTGAAGCAAAAAGGGCTTACTGTAGAGAATTGAGGGTTGATAGGGTCTGTAGGGTTTAGGATTCAGGGTTTAGGGTTAAACCCTAAACCCTTGAAGTTCAGGGCGCAAAGGGTTTAGGGTTAAGGCTTGATGGTGTAGGGCGTAGGGTCTGGGATAGGCATTGGGAAGTGCGCGCCTCGGTTCCTCAGCGCCAAGTAAGCTCTATCGCCAACAAATGCAAGATGATCACAGCGTGGGCTGATGTCTCCTATGTGAGGCTTAGGGTTTAGGGTTTAGGGTTTAGGGTTTGGGGGTTTAGGGCTTAGGGCTTGGGGCTTGGGGCTTGGGGCTTGGGGGCTTAGGGCTTAGGGCTTAGGGCTTAGGGCTTAGGGTGGCGAATACTGTGCTGGGGCAGTTTCTGGGCGCACCCACAGGAGTCCGGACATGTTTTGCAGTACAGCTTGCTTGGAATTCCGCACGATCTGCGCGTGGGTTTGGATTTTCCTGGCACCGCGGCCTGTATGTATCCTACATGTAATAGTTGAACTTTCACAACATTTTGGGTTTCCAATTTTAACAGGGATATTCAAGTAACCTTTTGCCCCCCTGGTTATTGGAGAAGTAAGGAAAGCCCTAAACACCGTACAATCCTGAGCTCCATACGTTGCGATCTTACGCTTCTTACCCCGTTTTTTGTCATTGAATATTTGATTTTCACTCTGCAGCAGACCACTCGATTGTCTTATCTGGTTAGTTTTTCATGAAGCCCAAACCCTGTAAGCCTAAAAACCCACACGTCCTAAAGCCCATGTACTTGTGTATATATATATATGTGTGTGTATATATTTATATGGAAGCCGGGGGGCCCATATACCGACATAGAGGCGCGATAGGGACATATGCAGGGGCCCAATACAGATCTTCCGGAGACCTTCGCAGTCTGGCCGACCCTACCCCTGAGAACCGCGGTCGCTACCCAAAGGGTCCATTTTGTAGTACTATTATGGAATATTAGGTACCCAAAAACCATGCTAAATATGGTTTTTGGGTACCTAATTCCATAATAGTACTACAAATGGACCCGTGTGGTATGAACCTGGATTAATCGTGTAAATAGTACACTTCTGTAGAATTGCCATAATTTTTCCACCTCGACCCTCCATTCCAACCCAGCCGTGTGCCCTTTGCAGATGCAAGTTCAGGGCGTTTGGGCTCCCAGAGGTTGGACTAGGAGTTTGAAGCTTGAGGTGTTTGACGTAGGGTTTCGGGTTTAAGGTTTAGGGTTTAGGGTTGTCAAAAGAGGGATAGGGTTTAGGGTTTAGGGTTGTTAAAAGGGTTTCGGGTATCGTCCACCATGAACAGGAATTGGGCGAGACCGACCTCGCACAAGTGCTGCAGATGCTTGCCTCAACCATCACTGAGTGGGTGTTGAATTTACTCATGTTGGAGGCGGTTTCATAATGGTACCATCTATAAAGTCAAGTTGGCCATTCTGTTCAGGACACCCGAACTGTTTTTTGTCCAGAGTGAGATCCTCAATTAAGTCAACTCGTCCGGGTGTCGTCAGAAAATGTCCCGGGGCGCGCCTCGAAAGTCAATTGCCGGGCCTCGCTGCCCCTTTTAAACTCATGTAAACTCCGCCCTAAGACCATGCAAAACCCCGTGGGCCGTTTGAAGAGACCAAAAACCAGCTTCGGCTGTTGAGGGGGTTGGGAGGGGGGGGGGGGGGGGGGGGGGGGAAGGGGAAAGGGGGGGGGGGGGGGGGGGGAAGGGGGGGAAGGGCGGCGGGAAGGGGGGAGGGGGGGGAGGGGGGGGGGGCGGGGAAGGGGGGGGAGGAACACGAAAGCAGGTCCAACATTGCGTTGCTGTTCATGATCTCCCTCTGCTTCGGCATTAAATTCAATTCTCCCGGGGTTCCATGCACCAAAAAGTTTCGTGTGCACCCAGAACCCTAAACCCTAAACCCTAAAAACCCTAAACCGGGATCGATTTAGGGCATTCGGGGCACGGGCATGAGTCAAGCAGGTTCAAGATTTTCCAAAAGCATGTCCACACGCGGGCTTTACTAGGATGCTCCGTAGTACCCTAAACCCTAAACCCTAATCCCTAAACCCTAAACCCTAAACCCTTTTTGGGGTCTAGGCTCCCTGGTAAACCCCTTTAAGCAACAACGGGTTTGGGGTTAAGAGCCAGACCTGCTGCACAGAAAGGGTTTAGGGTTTAGGGTTTAGGGTCTAGGGTCTAGGGTTTAGGGTTTAGGGTTTAGGGTTTGGGGTCACTTGGCAACCAGCTTCTGTATGGAACGCAGGGCGGCTAGGTTTTTTATTTGCTCAAAAGAAAAAGGTGGCTTCTTCACACGTGCCCGTGTAAGAAGAAGCCTTGGAGCTCATAGATCACTAGCTCGACCCGAAACCGCATCAACCCTAAAGGCTTATAGGGCTTATGGTTAGGGTTTAGAGTTGAGGGTTTAGGGTTGAGGGTTTGGTGAGCTTAGGGTGAACCCAAGCAAAGCGAAGAGAAAGCGACAGCAACGCGCCAAGGAACCTTTCTATCTACGACTTGCGCATGACGGCTCAGATCGTGACAGCTGTCGGATCCGAGGCACCGTCTGACTGCATAAGGGCTTGGGGTTTAGGGTCAAGTCTGTGAGAATAATGTAGGACAGGAGGCCAAAACTTCACAATAAGGCCGGCCCCCACCCTAAACTCATGCAATCTCCACTCTTCCAATCGAATGAAAGCCCGGGAAGATGTAAGCAGGATTTAGGGTTTAGGGTTTAGGGTTTCGGATACTGAACGATGGCAGGAATGTGTGCAACATCTTATGCGTTTCTACTTCGATTGCGTTTTCGTGATTGAGTCGGTTCCTGCTTCTCACGGGGACAGGGTTCGTCGATGCTGATGGGCAAGTGCGAGTAAGTGCCATGCAAGAGCGGTCTGTGTGCGCGGTGGTCAAAGAGCCACTGCCGATTTGAGTCGCTGTTTCCTGTAAGTGCAGTGGTCGCGGGCCATTGCCTCTTTTGTGCTGGCTGTGATGCCACGACAGGCCTGACATTGACTGAGCGCCTGTGAGAGAGAGAGGGTTTAGGGTTTATCAAAGGCCCTTAAGCCCTCAACAGTGCGCAAGCCCTGAGCCCAGCCCTCGACAACTAGGATGGCCAGTAGTGCCCTTACTGCCTTTCTTGTACCTAAACCCTAAACCCTAAACCCTAAACTCTAAACCCTAAACCCTAAACCCTAAACCCTAAACCCTAAAACCCTAAAACCCTAAACCCCTAAACCCTAAACCCTCAACCCTCAACCCTAAACCGGGCTAAGGGTTTCCTGCCCCAGGTTAGGGTTTTCGGGTTTTAGGGTTCTAAGGGACATCCTAGCGTACTGTTAGGGAGCCCTTGCGAACCCATTCAACTAAGAACAGGGCACCCTGTTTGCTCTTAGGTTGCTGGGCAACCCAGACAACCTTAAGCTTGGGATGTTCCCGCGTATGCTCAGTCCGTAATGGGCATACCCCCCCCCCCCCCTTAGAATCCCAATTAAGGACTGTTAGCATAAGGGGGAACATCCCAACCGTAAACCCTAAACGCCTCAACCCAAAACCCTAACCAGTCGGGCTGCGGGGGGTGCAGGTGGCGAGGGGGGGGGGGGGGGGGGGGTGAGGAGTTTGTTTGAAGGGTAGTGCTGGGAGACACCCAGGCACCATTCAACCCTAAACCCAAAGCCCTAAGCTCTTGTGGGGTTGAGGGCTTTTTCGGGCTTAGAGTTTGAGGTTTGGGGGTCTCCGATGGCTCTTTACATCTTGAACTCGCAGATCTGCAGGATTCCACTCCCGGCTTGCAGCCTAAAGACCAAAACCCTGCACGCGTCCTAATCTGCTAAAGACCAAAACCCGAAACCGCGCCCTAAGCTGCAGTCCTAGAACCTTTAGAGTGTCCTGAGTGTCGGCCATGGCAGGCGACATCAATCACTAAAGCCTTCAGCTCTGCACTCTAAGCCCTGAACCCCAAACCGCATCCCAAAACCCCAAACCCCAAACTACCATTTGCTGAAGAAACCCTAAGACATTTAACCATTCCTATGTTTCCCTTGCAAGGAAGATTTCATTTTAACTTGTTGGGGGGGGGGGGGAGGGGTTCTTATGCAAATAGTAGCTACCTAAACCCTACATAATATCGCTTCATAATATCGCTAAACCCTAAACCCTAAACGCCCTTAAAGCCCATGGAGCTGGCCCTTAAGGTGGGTGAAGCCTCGTTGGTGCTGACGCGGCGATCGCAGCTGATGTCCACGTCGTCCGTCGTTTCGGTCACCCAGCTAAAGCAGCTCCAGGACTGCGGGTTTAGGGTTTAGAGTTTTCGGTTAAGGGCTTAGGGTTTAGGACCGTTGAGGATGTATAGGGTGAGGTCAAGGGTTGAGGGTTCAGGGCGCGGGGCAAGGATTCCGGGTATTTGCTGCCTGGGTCGAGGGTTTACACCCAAACCCTAAACCCAAAACCCAAATCTCCTAAACCCTAAGCTCGTAAACCCTAAACCCTCAAACCCTAAACCCTGAAACCCTAAACCTTCGGTTTTTTTGGGCACTGGGGGAAGGAGCTGGAAATACTCTGGCCACCCATGCTTGAAGTTTGGGATGCAAGTAGTGAGCCCTTAACTCAAAATCCTAAACCCGAAACCCTAAACCCTCAAAGTTCGAGGAGCAGGGGATTTGTCTCTTGAAGGGGGTTCGCTGGTCCCCCTTCTACTAAGAGCCTTTAATCGGGATTGTTCTGGGGGGTCCCTATTGAGGGCTGTAAGTATAAGGGCGGACATCCCAAGGGACTCGTCCTGATAAGGGGCCACACAATTTCACAAGAATGAGGGACGGAGGTGAAGTCCTCAATGGGGATTCTAGTACCCCCTACCCTAAACCAAAAACCCCAAAACACCTGAACCCTGAAACCCTAAAACCCTTAACACGGGGAGCCAGGGAGTGCGATCCGCTGGGTGAGACACGCCTTTGCCTGAAAAGCATGGAAGCTGACTCAGGGTTTTGGGTTTGGGTTGGGATCTTCCCCCTTATACTAACAGTCCTTAATGGGGATGTGATGATTCCATTTTGTTAAGAACTCTTAGTACATAATCATTTACATATACTATTATTTCGATTCATTTTTCTATGCTGTTTACTAGCGATTACGCGGTTATTTGAAGGTATGTGAATCTAGAAGTAGAAGCCACTTGGTGTTTAGAACATCCCTGCTTCCTACTTGTCGAGTGCATGAACGCGAAACCCTAAACCTCAAACCCTAAGCCCTAAAGCCCTAAACCCCAAACCCTAAACCCTAAACCCCAAACCCGAAACCCTAAACCCTAAACCCCAAACCCTAAACCCTAAACCCTAAGCCCGGTTCATTTGGGACCTTGGGCCCCATCAAATCCATTTGACCCCACCCACTCCATGCCCAAACAAGACCACCCTGAGCCTTCAAAAACCCGCCCTAAACCCTAAACCCTAAACCCTAAACCCTAAACCCTAAACCCTAAACCCTAAACCCTAAACCCTAAACTTGACCCTCAGCCTCGCACCTTTACTGGTCCTGAGGGTGCTTTAACTTAGTTTTAGGTAACCTTTAACCTTTTTTGGGGCAATATCATCCCCTTCTAATCCCAAAGGTTCACCTTTAGTTCCCCTAGGTACTGGACAACAAAGTCAATCCCCTCCCCCGAACATGAACCCCCCCCTCCCTTCCCCCAATATTCAATACCCCCCCCCCCCCCCCCATTATTGTTATATTGTAGTATATGTGGGGTGTATTTAACATTAGGGGGTAGGGGGGGGAGGTTAGTATCAGGGGGGATTATAATCTCTCCTGGGGCGCAGGACATGGAGTCGGCGACCGTCTCCTCCGAGAAGAAGGACGTGCTAGGGTTTAGGGCTTAGGGTTTAAGATTTAGGGTTTAAGGTTGAGGGTTTAGGGTTCAGGGTTCAGGTTTTTGGGGTTCAGAGTTTAGGGTTCAGGGTTTAGGGTGTTCAGGGTGTCTGTGTGTGATTGTCGTTTTGCTTTGCTTTGTTTTGTTTTTGTTTTGTTTTCGTTTGCGATTTGTTGGTGTGTTTTCTTTTGGTTTGGTTTGCTGGTCTTGGTTGTTTGTGTTGTGAGTTTGTTGTGTGTTCTTCCCCACCCTCGTTGTGGGGTTGCGGGTCCTCGGCGTGCCCCACCCCCGCAGAGAAGCTCGCAAAGAGTCCCGCCGAGTGCGGAGTGCCCAACCCCACGCAGAAGCTTAGGGTTTAGGGTTTAGGGTTTAGTGTTTAGGGTTTAGGGTTTAGGGTTAAGGTTTAGGGTTTAGGGTTTAGGGTTTAGAGAGTGCTCATCGCCAGAGACTCCCGCAAGAGTTCCGTCGAACCCACCCTGAGAGTTCCGCGGAGAGTCAGGCGACCGATGCTATAAGGTTGGGGTTTAGGGGGTTTAGGGTTTAGGGTTTAGGGCTTAGGGTTTAGGGTTTAGGGTTTGGGGTTTAGGGATAGGGACGGGGTTCAAGGGGGGTATGAAACCCTAAACCCTAATACACCCCCCCCCACTACTCCCTAAGGGCTCCCTAAACTTTTCTAAGGTTTTCTAGGTACCTACCCCCCTTGAAACCCCCTCCCTAACCCTAAACCCTAAACCCTAAACCCTAAACCCTAAACCCTAAACCCTAAACCCTAAACCCTAAACCCTAAACCCTAACCCCCTTAAACCCCTTAAACCCCCTTTAAACCCCCTCCCTTAAGAACCGTATAAAGATGCCTGCGGCGAAGTATCCGTAGCTACCTGGGCAGGATGGCTTTCACATCGGGTGGGAATGGCAGAAGTAAATAAGCTTTTTTCGTTTTGCTTGTTTGGTCTTTTTGTTTCGCTTGCTTGCTTGTGCTGTTTGAGTTTGATTGTTGTTTTTGGTTGTTTTGTTGATGTTTGTTGTTTTGCTTGCGTGCCCAGATTTCCGGGGTTTAAAGATGTATTTAGTTGGCTCGCTGCATAGACATACACAGCAAAGCCACTGACATGTGACCAACATGTTGCTGCGCATGTGACACATCGCGAGCATCACACATCGGCATGCGGGCCATGGACAGATTACTACGATTCGCTTAAGAACCCACGCGGGGGGGGGGGGGGGGGGGGGGGGGGGGGGGGGGGTCTTAAGCAAAGAGTAGATGATCGACAGAATTGCGCAGGAAGTGGCCATGGCAGCAAAGCAGGAAGACGATGAGGCGGAGAACAAGGGTGCCTTCGACACTGCTCCAGCGCAATCTGAGTGGTTGTAGCCCATGTAGCCGTAGAACTGCCTGTGCCCGTGAGGGTTTGCAGGAATTGTTGTTTCAGATGGGGGGCAAGCAGCGGACTCCCCAGCAAAGCTGGATGTCACGAGCTGCCCAGGTCCAAAACATAAAGTTGCCCCCACAGCCCAAGCTTCCTTAGCCAATAGTTGAACTTTAAGCTTTTTGGGCTCCCTTATGTAGTTGCAACAATCAAGTTTATCCTTTTTTCTTTCTTGGTTCTTGGTGAAGTAAGAAACGTACGTTATTTCCTCTGGCATCGGATTTTAGGAGCGATTTTGGCGCACACCTCCCAAAGCTGCTTGGCGAAAGCCTGTTCTTCCACCTCCTTTGGCCCAAGGCCATAGGACAGGCCGACATCATAATTGTCCTCCTGCGAGTTTGAGGCAGTATAAAAACCCAAAAAGGGTACTCGGCACCCGTTTTATTCCTAGGTTACTCTTGGGTCTAGGGTTTTAGGGTTTAGGGTTTATTGGGTTTATTTGGCTAGGCTTGAAAGACTCCGCAGGGTTGTCGGCGCAGCTGTTGTGAGGTGTTTTTCTTACCAGCGATCGCCTTTGCAGTTTCCAGCAGAAGACTAACCTGGGGCTCCATGTGCCTACTAGTTTTGGGAGGGGGCTGATGATCCTTAAGCCGTACACCCCTAAACCCGAAGCCCCAAACCCTAAACCCCAAACCCCAAACCCCCAACCCTAAACCCCAAACCCTAAACCCCAAACCCTAAACCCTAACCCCCAAACCCTACTTAGGGGGGTTCAAATCTACTACTTGGAAGTCACAGGAAGGGCCTCGACTTGTGCACTTGGCTGCGCAGTCAGGGATCCCAACAAGTCTTCGATGATCGTCGTGGACTGTGTGTGAGAGATCACTCGGCTTGCACCCTAAACCCTAAACCCCAAACCCCAAACCCTAAACCCTAAACCCTAAACCCTAAACCCTAAACCCTAAACCCCTAAACCCTAAACCTCTCTACCATATAACCCTAAATGTTAAACACCAATTGGAGAATTTGATCCATTTCTTTTTTTTTCACCCCCCCGTTGTTCAGCACCAATTGGAGAATTTGATCCATTTTGGCCCCTCCGACCCCTTTGACCCCCCATTGTTCAGCACCAATTGGAGAATTTGATCCATTTTGGCCGCTCCGACCCCCTTGGCACCCCATTGTTCAGCACCAATTGGAGAATTTGATCCATTTTGGCTTCTCCGACCCCTCTGACCCCCCATTGTTCAGCACCAATTGGAGAATTTGATCCATTTTGACCCCTCCGACCCCTGTCAGGGAGGCTTCGTGGGGGGGTACCCCAGGATTCGGTAAAAATGGCCCGATTCCCAGTTAGTTTTAAATAGAATTTATATAGCGGAAACGACCCCCTCATTTTCTAGATTTCTCTGGCCCTCTCAATGCTGGCCCTCTGACCCCTTTAACCCCCCATTGTTCAGCACCAATTGGAGAATTTGATCCATTTCGACCCCTCGGAACCCTTGACCCCCCATTGTTCAGCACCAATTGGAGAATTTGATCCATTTCGACCCCTCCGACCCCTTTGACCCCCCATTGTTCGGCACCAATTGGAGAAGTTGATCCATTTCGGCCGCTCCGACCCCCTTGGCACCCCATTGTTCAGCACCAATTGGAGAATTTGATCCATTTCGACCCCTCCGACCCCTTTGAACCCCTTTGACCCCCCCATTGTTCAGCATCAATTGGAGAATTTGACCCACGTCGACCCTTCTGACCCCTTTGACCCCCCATTGTTCAGCACCAATTGGATAATTTGATCCATTTTGGCTTCTCCGACCCCCATTGTTCAGCACCAATTGGAGAATTTGATCCATTTTGACCCCTCCGACCCTCTTAGGGAGGCTTCGTGGAGGGTACCCCAGGATTCGGTAAAAATGGCTCGATTCCCAGTTAGTTTTGCGCCTGAAATGCTGACCTCTCTAACCCTCCATGGTTCAGCACGAAAAAGAAATTAATAAGCTTTTTATTTTCGTAATGTTATGGGATTCTTTGGGCGGGTGGGTTTTGTTCCGTTGCCTACACACACTGCTGG